GGGTCGTCCCACTCACGACTGACAATGTTAAATGCGTCACGGCGCATCGTTAGATGTGCAGCTTCTGTATTAACGGCTTACTTAAAAATATGCATCGACTTATTTTGATGGACAGTCAGACTTTAAGGACGGGTTTTATTTTGTTTGAGTAACACAATAGAACAGAAGGCACATTGTTACTGTCAGGACTGCACCTCTCTCAGCCTCACGCCCGTCTCCCATCCTCTCCTGTCTAGCCCGGAGTCATAGATAAGTTTGCTGGGGACACCAGAGCTATCATCAGTAAAGTGGCTCTGGAGGCCGAGAACAAAGGTCTGTTTGAGGAGGCGGTCAAACTGTACGAGCTGGCCAAGGTGAGCAGACCGTGCACTGCGCAGTATCTCTGCAGAGCTGTCGCTTTGGGATTCGTTCACTTTACGTGTGTCTCTGCGTAGAACTCAGACAAGGTGCTGGAGCTGATGAATCGGCTCCTGAGTCCCGTCATCGCCCAGGTCAGCGCGCCTCAGTCCAACAAGGAGAGGCTAAAAAACACCGCCGTAGCCATCGCCGAGAGGTAAGGACACGGACACGCCGTGCGCTGGTCAAAATCTACACACGCACCTCCGTAACCTTTTCTTTTCCCGCTGCAGGTATCGCTCTCAGGGCGTAGCAGGAGACAAGTCGGTCGATAGTACCTTCTACCTGCTCTTAGACCTGATGACGTTCTTCGACGAGTACCACGCGGGGCACGTCGACAGAGCGTATGATGTGAGTGCAACTCTGAAAATGAACAAACAGACATGAAGGGAGACGCACGCGGCCTCGTCATATTAACGCTGCCTCTCTCTGTCAGGTGATGGAGCGCTTAAAGCTTCTTCCGCTCAGTCAGGACAGCGTGGAGGAGAGAGTGGCGGCTTTCAGGAACTTCAGCGATGAGGTGTCGACTCGGTTCTGGACACCAGACACAAAACCGATACTCAGTCTTTATATGGGCTCCACTTCTCTGCTTTCTCTTTATTTAAATGTCGTTTTGTTCCTCCAGGTGCGTCACAACCTGTCCGAGGTGCTGTTGGCCACCATGAACATCCTCTACACGCAGTACAAACGCCTGAAGGGGGCGCCAGCCGGCACACCGGGACGGCCACAGAGGACCATGGAGGACAGAGACACGGTGAGGGAATGAGCACAGCACTAAAGATGTGTGTTTATAGGTAGATCTGAACCTAACGCATTCTGTTTTTATACAAAGATCCGTTTACTTTAAATATTTGAGCTGATACGAGCACATTTAGTGGCAAACTGAATATATTCATGTGACATTTTTGGCAGAGTTTCTCGTTCGTCCCTTGTCAGTACGTCTCCGTCGCTCCTCTGGATTCTACCTTTTCACTTCTACTTACATCAGACATAGAAAGCCTGGTGACCCAGAAGCTTGCTGACTGCAGCTGGTGTCTACAGAAGGATTTTAGGTTGTGTCGAGCCGGCTAGTCTATGCCCAGCTCGCTGGTTGTTAAATATTCTGTCTCACTGATGCGTTATGTTAACACGCCATCTCTTCTCTGAACAGCAACTGCGCGGTCAGGCCAGAGCCTTGATCACCTTCGCTGGCATGATTCCCTATAACATGGCCGGGGACACCAACGCGAGACTGGTGCAGATGGAGTTACTGATGAACTGAGACGCACACACACACACACGATGAGCAGAAACCTCTGGGAAGACCGGCTCATTCACACGCTCACCTGCCATCTTGTTGTGTAAAAGCGGCGGCGTTCATCGCCATGTTGAGCCATACGTTGGTTTTTTTGCTCATCTGAAATCCTGTCAGTCTGTTTTTGTTATTTCCATTGTTTTGTTTCATATTTGTATCTGTGATGATTTAGAATAAAAAGTTTGCTTTTCGTTCGTCTTTTTTATTTTGAAACATTTTATGTTTCGTTACATTTTCTTCCTTTTTTTCCTCATTTGGCTTCATTTTATTTCAGTGCTACTGTCAAAGTTGTGACAATATTATGATATATGTGTTTAATACGGGAGCCGTTACATGCAGGCTTGAGCACATTAGTCATCACGCACCTATATTAACTCGCACAAAGGAAATACTGGAGAACACATCCTGAGAGTGAACTCGTCTAAAACAGAAGGTGCAAACACTTTTGTTTTTTACCCAACAGACTCGAAATGCTCCATGTCCCCCCTGAGGGAATAAATCAGGTGAAATCTAATTGAATCGTCTCCCTGGGAAACAAAACAAGACCGTTCCTCTCAGCCTTACGCAGTCCCGAGTGTCGCAGGCCATAGCCGTGCCGTTTCCACAGGCTGTGGAGCGTCCTGTCCCCTGGCAGATGGTTGGTTGGCTCAAGCTCAGCTATCGGACTTGGGGGGGATATTTCTGTTTCCATCAGAGAGGAAATCAGTGGAACAAAACATTTTACCGCACGCTGCAGAACGAGTGCGTCCTCGTGATGCTCGTTCCTTGTGCGTATTTTCAAAGGAGGTAGTCTTAAACTATTTTATTAGTAAAGAAACCAAAAACTAATCTTTGACTAAAAATGTGGACGTTGTTTAACTTTGTGATACGTTTGTATGCAAAGTTCCTTCAAATCTTTTGTAAGGGCGCACCGTAATCGCCCGGCCGCGCTCCGGCCAGCATTTAGAACAGCATCTTAACCACTCCTGCCTTTATAAGCTACCTGAACTCAGACCGAGCCCCTCCTGGAGCCCCTGTTGAACATTCAGCAGCACAACCAGACATCGCTTGAGGTTTGCTAGAAAAACTGGCCCTCCATCTCCTCTGTTTGTGGCCCACATTCTGTGTCCTTCAGTCTGGCCTGAGAGAACACAGATGGAGGCTCATTCTGTCTCTGCTGCTCCACATAACTGTGCAGACGGGTCGGAATCACTCGTGGTCACAAACACAGCTGAGCTGAACGGTACAGGAGGCCCACGCTTTGTTGTTTTATCGCCTCCTTATGTTTTTCCTGCTTACGTCGTCAGGGCCGCGTTAGACTGTATTGGGCGGTGCAGTCTCTCAGGAAAATGCTCGTGCGTGTTTTTAAGAGCTCCGTCACCCGAAGATCTGCCTCTCAGGTGTGTGTGCCGCAGCTGGTGTTGTGAATCAGGCCGATGACACACACCTCTTATAACCCGGCTATTTCACAACACCAGGGTGGCCCTGCACCGCTGCCGACGAGACGAGGACCCGCTTCAGCCAGACGGAGCAGAGCTGGGAGAGCTCAAGTCTTCAGTCCTACAACGATCATTTGTGTACCGGTACTTTGAAAAGGGAAAATAATGATCGCGTTTTTGTCAGTTAAATCTGCCGAGATCATTTTTTTCTTTCTTTCTTTTTCAGTTATTTTAGTCAAATTCACTCTGATATCAGGTACATCTGCTTGATGAAATCTTCCATAAACTCACCGCGTTGAGCTGTAAAGCATAAGATTCCCTCTTTGGTCCATTAATAAAGTCCAGTATGTTTCTTTTCTCTTTGACTGAGATTATAGTAACACAGTGGATTGTATTACCTACAGCTAGAGGGGAAGCATCAAAGCACAGAACAGATCATTTCAAATGTAGCAGAATGATTCTTTTTCTGCTTGCAAAGACAAGAGCACACATGGCTACATTGTAAATCTAAAGCTAATTACCAACAGTGTAAAAAGAGGACATCTTTGTACTGTAACAGTATTTCATCTTAAACCAAAATGTGACGTGTGCCGAGCCATTATTTATCGGTAATTTCAAAATCTTTGGCCTCTGCTCTTTGCTGGATTTCAGCCGATTTTTCCTCAGAGGTTTTGTAACATCGTGTCACATCTACTCAAATTTGCAAAACTGAAGATTGGAATAATAAAATGAAGTGTACAGCTCTGAACAACCAGAGACAAAGAACCTGCTCCTCGGTGCTGTTCGTGCCTCTGCAGCAGAGAAGGGAGGCCTGGCCAGTGATGCCTGAGAGTATGGACCCCAGCCTCGGGGTGTGACGAGTTGGAACAGAAGGAAATGCACTGACCCACTTATGGCTTCCCTGGAGACACAGATATTTCCAACCACAGGCCCATCATGCAGGAGCCCCACTGTTTTGACCTGCTGACACTAAACCTTCTGTGCCCGCAGTGGTCCAAATATGGAATCAAAGTAGTTTTAGTGATTTTCCAGTGTCCAGATGCATCTGGCTCAAAGTCTTTACTTTACTAGAGAGCCGAACTTTAAGTCACCTGAGTGACTGCGGCGTTTTTACGCATACTGTAAACCAGACCTTCCCAAAGTGTGGGGCCCGCCCCCTAGCGGCGGCGGGGGGGGGGTCAAAACAAAACGCTTGGACACTGCTAGCACGGGGCGCCCACAGAAACGCAAAGCAGGAGATGAAGCGTCGCTGAATATGTTTCCAAACCAACTTCATTCTAAGCCAAAGACTAGAAAATGTGGTGAAGCAACTCTTCCCTTTGGCTTCACCAACCTTTTTAAAAATGTATTGACAGCAATGTTGAACATTATTACACAGGAAAAAAACAAGTACGTGTAAAATAATGACACCGTGACGCCTCTGCCTTTGTAAACAAAGGGACAGTAACTGCGTGTAAACCTGCAGACAGTCAGATTAACAGTATTTCGTCTCTATCATTCTGTGATTCATCTCCTGTAAACAATAACGTGGCCACAGCGTGACGTGAATAAAGGCGCATACCTTTGACGCTGCCTGACCAACTCTGTATTCCTCGTCCACACGTTAAACGCAAAAAAGGAGTTTTTAAAAAATCTCCGTTTTCGGTGATTGGAAACGCCGTTTACGTGGACGAAACAGCTGCGTGGTCAAAATCACCCGTGTAGGTGCGGACGCAGCATAAAAGAGTTAGTAGTTTCTTTTATTACCACCTGTAATTTATTGCAGTTTACTTGTTTACTAAATGTTTGAGGTGTGAAATAAACCGCAATGGAGCAAAAGATGAGCGCGTGTGGTTGGAGGATGTGTTTGTGCGTGTGCACGCGCGTGGGGAACATTTTTCTTGTAAAACAAAGGGGCCCAGCAAAAAGGTTTGGGAACCACTGCTGTAAACGGTGATGGGGATGACGAAGCACGGAACTAGTTTGAGGCGGCAATAGCGCCCTCTGCTGGAAACCTCTTGATATATAAAACCAATTTTGTCAGCACATCCACGAAGGAACTAAAAAAAAGATGTTTGTGTTTTGCCTCTTTTTATTTTCTTTCCCTTTGTTTTAAGGGAAACCGTGAAACTATAAAATGTAAATATAATCAATTATCAGAATATTATTTATGTTAATCAATAAAACGCAGGAGATCGACGTGGTGGGGCTGAGTGTTCAAACTTATTTGATACTTTAAACATGACATATTTAGCCGAATTAATTCGCGGGGTTCAAACAGCGGGGTTAAAGCTCCAAAACCCTCCACGGAAAAACACAGCAGGTGTTCCTGATTGGAGACCGGCAGGTGAAGTAACGACGGAGCGGAGAAGGACGTCTCGTTTGACTGCAAATATAACGCCAGCGTGTCCTGCATATACCCACAAATCGTTACTGCAATGAGCTTAACCGGCTTGAAGGTAGGCCCGGGTGAAACATCCACAGCTTTATTGTCCTTTCGTGTAAAAAAGAAAAGAAAGATGGATTAAAAAGAGTAAAAGCGGAAATATCCTTCCTCCAAAATAGCTTCCCGTGGCTCTGCTGCTTTTCCTCGGGTTCACGTTGGACGGGGTTGAGGGTAAGAAGGTTAAAAAAAAAATGTGAGATGTGTTTCAGCGTGGAGATTCATCAAGTTCGTTTACTGTGTCCTTTCTAAGGAACCTGCAGTGTGGAGCATTGCACCGACCCCACAAGATGCGTCCTGTCTAAAGACCAGAGGAGCTGCAAATGTGCTCTCGGCTTTTATGCTGACAAGTGTGACCGAAGTAGGCTCTCCTGTCTTTTCTTTTATTTCAATGCATTTCATCATCAGTTTTGTCAAAGAGAAACTGAATGCACCCCAGAATTATGCTGAGTTGGGCTGATTGTGTTTAGGGCTTTTGAATTGGAGATTAAATCATAACAAGTACAAAAATGTATACTTGTCTAAGATCAGCTTCTCAGATTGATCCCGGTGCTAATATCTCTTAGAATATTATTTCAAAGCTTGTCATTGTGAAAAATGAGTTTTCGAATCATGCGTTTGGTTTGTGATAGCATGCATTTAGCTGCACTGACACTGTTCTGCAAGTCCTCTTATACCCACTTCCACGTCTTGTTCCAACATAAATATGTAGTGTTGTTTTTTTGGAGGGCAGCCCGTGATAGTCCAATTTCACAAAGATTGAGGTGTTTGGCTCATTATCCCACTGCTGTGTATGAATCCTTATCCACAAACAAGCAAACCAGAGGGTGGAGTGTCTCTGAAGGACGAACAACTTAAGAGTAGCCAAAACGAGCCCAGATTTAAACTTTTCCTCCACCACGTTTCACTCTGCAGTACCCTTCTGTCTTCTGCTTCTCCATCTGTTACTGCCACAAACTTGGATCTCCCCTCCCTGGTTCTTCTACTTTAAAATGCTGATATGCAACAACCCACCCACAGCTTTCTCCCGACTAGTGTAGATGCTTCTTTTTCTGACCGCATTGTTAACGGTGCTTCTCCTGATCGCAGGCTCGTGTTTTCTTATGTAGCAAAGTCAATATCTGTGACGTTTCTTGCCGTCTCATTCAGCAAAGCCTGATGTTAATTAATCTAATCTTCTGAAGGTGTGCTCATTTTTACTTGGTGTTTTACAGTACTGCGCACTGCCCCTAAGAAATCTTCAGTCAAATTATGGTTTGATGTGGAAAAACTTTTTCCTAATTTTCTACTAGAAACTTGAGGCATAGTCACATTTGTAACTAGCAAACAATGACAGGGCTGCCTGTCATCTGACGTGTTTCAAGAGGTGGGATATAACCCAGGTTATTACAGTTAACGAAAGCTTGGTGTAAGAAGACATTTAAACTAACTGCAATGAAAACTAGTTTTAAAAACGATGAGAAGTAAAATGGAAACGATGGACTACAAATGAAGTTCATCCAGGCCTTTGAGACAACTGATGTCATTTTGTTTCAGTGTATGCAGTGTTTTCTAATAATGTTGTCTAACGTGAGAAGTAGTGGTCCTAGCCAGTGTTGGTCAAGTTACTTGAAAAAAGTAATCAGTAACTGATTACTTATTTTCAAAAGTAATTAATTACTTAGTTACTTAGTTACTTTTTAAAAACACGATTTACAACCTGAAGAGGTGATAAAGTGATAGATCTTTCAGCCCAATTCTACTTTTTCTGCATAATCCATCATACAAAATGTAATCAAATGGAAAAGTCTCTTTTTAAAACTTGTTTTATTAGTTTTAATCTTTTAACTTTATGCATCAAGCAAAAATGTAATTATCTGCAACATTCTCTGACTGGAAGAAATTAGTTTAACATTTAAACCTATTTTCTGCACATTCCAGCACATAAAATATTTTTTGTGTTTACACTCAGTCTTTCAAATAGATGCAAGTAAAACACAGCAGAAAATAAATAAAGTCAAAGACTCAGCGGTCCTGTTGCTCTATTTTCACCTGTAAAGCAGGAGTGGGGTAGGCGGAGGTTTACCCTGGTGCAGGTGTGCCGCGGTCAGTGGAAGAATCTGCGAGTTTCTCTGTGAGTTTTCCATTACGTCGTAGCTACTCGGTGCTTGTTGGAAGTTTAGGGGTTTTTCGCTGTAAAAAGAAGTTTTCTTCCCACGCACAGCGGACACTAATGTTTTTGTCACTTTTTATGGAATCAAACTCAAAGTAAGGTCAGTACTTCCACGCTTTAAACGCTGCACGCTCATACTCTCTCTGCACTCGATATATTGTAACGATGGTTAAGTGTTACTGGACAGTGACATGCTGGTTTGACACACTTGGTAGAGCACGTCATTGAGACCGGGGATGCCCAGCCTATTAAAGTGCGCCCCCGCCGCCTGCCCCTGGCTCATCAGGAGGCTGCAGACAGGGAGCTGTGTGAAATGATGAAGGCGGGCATCATAGAACCATCTGATAGCCCGCGGGCCTCCGCGGTGGTGATGGTGCCTAAGAAAAAAAGTCCTAGGATGCGTTTCTGTGTGGACTACAGACCACTCAACAACAGTGTGCAGAGAAAACCAACATGTCACTGTCCAGTAACACTTAACCATCGTTACAATATGATCCATTGTTGATCTGCACACAGCTGTTGTCACGAACGTCGCACTCGCTTACGTCACTGTCATGAGACATTCTCCCAAAAAATCATGGTTTTAGTAACGCAGTAACGCAGCGTTCCTACGGGAAAGTAACGGTAATCTAATTACCGTTTTTGCAATAGTAATCCCTTTACTCGTTACTTGAAAAAAGTAATCGGATTACAGCCCATCTCTGGTCCTAGCACAGAGCCTTGTGGGACTCCATGGCTAACCTTTGTGTGCATCAAACTTCTCATTTACACGAACAATCTGGAATCTCAGATGGATGCGATTCACCAACTGAGCCGTTTCCTTTGATACGTGTTTATGTTAGAGACTCGCTGACGTTTGCTTCTTACAGATGCACATCTCAAGGTTATGTGTGGGAAAGACCACATAGCAATCAGAGCAGCGGAAGCTTTTTTCGAGTATCACGGCGTGCCGCTGGAATCGCTTCACTTGCCAAACAAATCTTGTGGTGCTAAGAGAGAGCATATCGACGGCGTCCCCTACTACGTGTTCAGGGTTTCCAAACACAAATACGTGACCTGTGGAGGACTGCCGTTTGAGGTGCAGCTCGAGCACAATTCCTTTAATGTCTGCGCCAGCCTAGAAAAAGATGAGCACCTCAATGTTTTGTTTCTTTTATTGTCCCCTTACAGAAAAATGTAACTCACATCTGGTTTTCCCTGAGTGTGAGGTCAGACCCTCGGGTTACTGGAAACATCATTAGAGATCCAGTTATCAGGATGGATTTCACGTGCATGTATCCATTCATCAGAAGAGTCAGTCTGCCTTTTTCAGTTTCACCAATCTCCAGGTGAGGGGCGAAATAAACGCATCTTTTCCATCCATGGTACTTCACTTTTTGTTTTGTTTTTTTAAGCTGCCTTTGAGCATTGTAATAAGTCTGTTCAATTGATGGACCTCTGAAACCCGTCTGCTGAAGTCTTTGCAATGAGTTAATGATTTTCTGTCCATTGAGTATTCAGAGCCACGAACAACCCGCCTTTCTTGACTTTCTTCTGTTTACGTGCAGCGAGACGGTGATGCGAGTAGACGAACTTGAAGCCAAGATACGGATGATGTTGTACACAGACCACACTTACACTAAACCTTACACAAGCTCTCCAACCATTGAGCTCCGAGACAAGGTGGGTTAAGATTTTAACCAGTCACAGATGAAACTGATGCTTAGACACAAGGATGGACTTTTGGTTCTTTGAAGCAGGTTTCAAATTCACCTGTGCTGTGATGCAGCCTGCCTTTATGCAACACCTGAGCTAAGCAGGTACATGTAGTGCTAGTCAATGTGCACTCAGGGCTGTAGAAATATTGCTCAGATTGATTAATAGGGTTTTGTTCATATCTGATGGCAACAAGTAGAAGGGTTTAGTGCTAAAATCAGTCTGTTTGATACAGAGAACTACAGATCCTGAGCACTGTTGCCCGCCTGACCACGGTCTGACTCATGTTGGGTGGTGGTTTTGTAAATGCTGATCTGTTATCTTGGACAGAAGCTGCCCAAGAGCAGTTTGATTATGCACAGGTTACAATGCTGATGTGCCCTGGTTCAAATGCAATAGAATAGCCCTTTACTGTCATTGTATGTGTACACTAGAATTGTGGGTGCTCCACACCAACGGTGCCAGAATGCAATATAGATGGTAGAAAACAGGAATAAATGGCAAACATCACGGGGGTTTCATTGGCATGCTTGACCATGACATGGCCGTGGCTGGGCTCATCTCTGATGCAGATGAGACGGTGTACAGGGCGCAGGTAGAGAACCTGTCCCGCTGGTGTTTAGAAAACAACCTGAAGCTGAACGAACTCATAATGGACTTAAGGAGGCACAGACCGGTCCCATTAGAAGTGGTGGAATCTGTCTCCACCTTCAGGTTTCTGGGCACCCACGTCGCCGTCCATCTCACCTGGACACACAACACAAACGCCCTGGTAAAGGGGGAGGTGGTGTGCAGGGTCACCTCAAACTCAGAAAAGAAGGCTCAGTTTGAGGGGGAGGTTTGCACATCTTGGAGGTGTGTGTGTGTGTGTGTGTGTGTGTGTGTGTGTGTGTGTGTGTGTGTGTGTGTGTGTGTGTGTGTGTGTGTGTGTGTGTGTGTGTGTGTGTGTGTGTGTGTGTGTGTGTGTGTGTGGTGTGTGTGTGTGTGTGTGTGTGTGTGTGTGTGTGTGTGTGTGTGTGTGTGTGTGTGTGTGTGTATACTGAGGTGGAAGACACAACGAGTTGGCCGGGCTAAAAGACATATCTGCAGCAGATGAACAATACATGAAAGTCATGTCCTTAAAAAATGGGGGAATCCAGTGAAGACCTGAGAGAAGCATCTGGTTCTTCAGCTGAGTAATTCATGAGCCATTTACCTCTGTGGTAGAGCGGCTGTCATGAAGGCATTTACAAGGGAGGGAAAACCTGAGGTGTGCCAAGGTACACGAACGGTAGCAACAGGCGTCACGGAGCGATGCATCCAAATATCATCAGTCTCTACAGACGAGGTCAGAGCAGCACACCAGGATGTCTAAAGTCATCTGTGAAGCACGGAGGCTGTTATGGTTTGGGTTTCAGTAGTATTGATGATCTTGTCAAAGTCGTTAACGATATGAAAAGTACCATCAGATTTACATTATCATCTGCAAAGCTTGTGATTGGCAGCAGCTCCATTTTTCAACATGAATCCAAGAACTGCAAATGCAGTGACAGTATACATGGTTAGTTGGTGATTGGCCTCCAGATCTTAACGTTACTGAAGCAATGGAACAAAAGGCAGCCAACATCCAAAGAGCAGCTCTGAATGTCCTTGAAGGTTGGTTGACGATGTAGAAACTCTCTTTGCCTCAAATGTTTCCATTTATGTTTGCACGTTTCAATAAATCTGTCCTATTTTCCTAACAAAATATCAAGAAATGAGGGGTTGCTCAGGGCTTTTGGACGAAAACCATATTTCTGGTCCTCCACACCTCACCTGTGTGGCTCTGTTGTCCACAACTGGTTCCCAGCACTGAGTTGGAGAACCACGCGTTTGACCGTTCAGGCTAAATGCTGAAAATGAGGTTTAAAGGGACGAAACGTTTAGCCGAGTTTATGCTCGGGGTGAAATTAGTCCCAGCTAATGTTCTACACACTGATGGTGGCTTTGACTTTGATGTTGCCTTTGTAAGCACGCGCTCCCATTAGAGATGACCTCAACTGGGATTAGCAGGTCAATCCTTTCTCTGCCATCAAAGAATCAAATTTTATTTGTCACGTACACAGTCATACACAGTACGATATGTAGTGAAATGCTTGGACAACTGCTCGTGACCTAAAGAAAACAAAAAAGGAAAAGGCTATGAATAAGATAGGAAATAAATATGAAAAATTAAAAAGGGTAAATTTAACTAGGAAGGAATAAAATATAAATTAAGGTTAAAAATGAAATAACTGTACAACACAAATTAGAATGAAGGGTAAATTTAACTGGGAGAATAAGATAAAGATAAATATATAAATTAAAGTTGAAAATAAAATAACTGTACAACAAAATACACAATACACAATATAGAAATATATAAGAATGTATGAAGAAATCTAAATATAAATAAATATATACACAATAACAGCAGCTGTACAAGTATTAACTGGAAATGAAGAATATAGTGACCAGTGTTGTGCAAAACCAAAGTCCAGTGTGTGTGTAAGAACCATATGTGTGGGTCAGTACTGTGTGGTGGAATCAAATCAGAAGATTGGGAATTTTGACATTTATTCTTAGAAAATCGTCTTGGTTTAAGTGCCTTCTGAAGAACCAAATATTAATTAAAGTGAATTGTTTTGTTTTGCACAGGTATATGTCGAGGTTACAATGATGGAGCCTGCAGATTTATTTCTGCTCCGAGTAAACGAGTGCTGGGCCACACAGTATCCCCAGCCAAACTCTACAGAGGGATCTGTTCACTTCCTGCTTCAGAATGGGTCAGAACTTCTCTTTGTGTTGTTTCTGGCACGTGAACGATGAACTCCTCACATCCAGTGACTTCTCTCATCCAGGTGTGTGAAGGACCAAACGGTTTCCTTCCTTAATATAACCGAGGGACAGTCTGGACGTAATGGGCAGAAGTCCACCGTCCGCTACAGCTTCGACATGTTTCGCTTCTCAGCAGATCCGCACGACCTCTACCTGCACTGCACCGTACAGCTGTGTGACCTGGACGACCACGAGTCCTGCATTCCCGTGAGCTGCTGCTATTATTATTGAAGGCGATTTAGGAGTGTGTGGACACGATGAAGTGCATCGTTTTTACCGTCTCATCATCTTTGACTTTTCTCAGGAGCATCGTTCTTTTTCAGAATTGTAACTCGATCAGTAAGAGAGAAGCAGTGAGTGCCGACCCCGCTCAGGGTCTCCTCACCTATGGCCCCATCAGGATCGACGTACCAGACAGATCTCAGTCCAGTAAGCTCCTGTTTCTATATCAATCTTTACACTCTGCCTGCTGCTCCTGTAGCATCAGCAGGTTTCTGCTAATGAGAAACGTGTCCCTTCATTCTCTTTAAATTTCACATTTGTTTCAGGCGTACTGTTGGCGGTGGTGCTGCCCGTAGCAGCTGTGTGGACTCTCGGCTTCTTCCTCGTCATCCTCATCACTGTGGCCAAGGCTGGCAGAAAGAGGCTAGCGAAAATAGAGCAGTGATGACAATGCTGCTGGCAGCACAAATAAAACATTAAAATGTGCATTTTTTTCCTTTGTTTTATTATGACGACCGTAACAAGTGTTCTCACAGACTGTGGGTGTCAGCTGAGGAAAGCATGGCTGCAGAAGGAACTGGTGACCTTTAAGCAAAAATCAAGTTTCATCTAAGATGATGCCTCGTGAGCCCAAAAGAGATTAACTTCTGTTATATTTGCAAAAACTGAGATCCAGACACATGTGGGCTCATCATTAACAAAAGCAACCAGGCTTATGGCAAGTTTGTGAACTGGAGGCTGAGTGTTGTTAGGAAAGCTTAACATTAGAAATGCAATGTTAGATATTTCAATGTCTAATTTTCTCCGTAACTCGATTAATGAAGGCAGCAAATTGTATGGAGATGAGATGAAACTGTCCTGTAGCTTCAAATATCTGTGACGTCACTGCGCGTCACTCTAGTGTCTGGAAATTTTGTTAAAGAAAAAGCGAATTTTAATCGTTTTATTTTGAGGACTTGAAATAACACGGCGCGTGTTTTCTATAGTTAAATGGCTGTGGTCACGTGGACCTGCTGCAGCGTCCCATTCACAGCAGCAGAGGGCAGACTGACCATTACCTTGTGTGGCCTTTTGTTGGGGTCAGGTTTGTTGAGCCATGAGGGTGAGGTCTTAACAGGAAGTCGGTAACAGATATTTTATGGCGGATTCTTTTGTCCGATGATGGGCTCAGGCATGCTGCGCGGTTAAAACGTAAAGAAGTCGATTTCTGCAGCGGGGAAAAGTGAAGTTTCTCCCTCGGGTTGATTTTTGCGGGGTTACTGCGGTCGGTTTTTGCAGTAACCCCAGAAACGGCGCAACAAGTACTTTACTTTTCATGCGCTCATTTCGGTGCTCGGACGCTTGAAGTTGTGACTTTCAGCAGGATTTCTCCTCAGCTGCCGATCAGCCATTGTGACCGTCAGAAAGGGGCAAGGACTTCTGCTGCATCAGCTCCGTATGAGGAAACAAACACTTGGATGCTCCGTGAGGGAAGCTGTCCCGGATCGACCAAGAATGGAGTAGAAACACTTTGTTTTCTCGGGCTTTTAAATGTGCCTTAAGTTTCTCAGCTGAACAATAATGGCCCGATAGATCACTTTCCGCAGGAGTTAAATGTAAAAGCATCTGCTTGTCGGAGGAAGCGGCTTGGTTTGATATTTGCCATTCAACAAGTCTTTGCGTCCGAGGGAAGGATGACATCCCAACAAACCTGGGCTCAGATCATCACGTCCGCGTCCTTACTCTCCCTGGTCTTGTGCAGCGCGGTGCCAGATGACCCAGAGGAAGAACGCTTCAGCGCCGAGGTACGCTGAAGGCTCCGTAGGGGAGAGACTGCCATGTTGTTATTTAAATCGTTGTTGCTGCACATTGAAACGAATCATCCTGCTTTCAACAGTCTCACTGCAGAATTACAGATTACAGCGGGAGCTCGTTTGACCTTTGTCCTCTTTCCAGATAACAGCTCTGCAGGTGTGACCGACGTCCGTCAACAAGGAAACGATTAGACCCGAGTGTTTCCTTTGAGTGGTAACAATGTGTCTGAAGCGGCATCTTTAGACCGCAGAGTGAAACTCACCTGGAAATGACTTTGATGTGTTGTGTTACCTGTGATTATTTATTAGTGAGTTTATCCCCCAAACACAACACGAAGGCTAATTAAATGTGTTTTTAAGCTTTTAAAGGTTTAATAGGGACATTATTCAAACTTGTCACGTAAACCACACTGCTGTAGGAAAGTTTCTCTCTGGCAGGTTTGGCCCGTCCGGCTTCATAACGACACATTTGATTGGTTAAGATTTGTCCTGCTAGCAAAGACCCTCTAAGGATTTTCTGTCTCAGTGCGCACGCATGAAGCCGCGTTGCATGTGGGTTTTTTCGTGTTCTCCTGCTGAGGCACATGTTACCTAACATCAGGACCCTCCCCCCACCCATCTGGAGCCATCATCCTGTTTTGCCTGTTCTGTGACTTCGTGGCTCAGTTTCAGTGCCATCAAACATGAAACGAAGAAGAATAATTCACAACATGTGACGCTTCATTCAGCAGGGACCTCAGGCACTCATGCAGAGCTATAGGTTTAGCTGGTGTACCCACAGGACTGACGTGCAATTTATTTAATGTCAGTTTTCCCGTTTCTGTCCTCTCTCCCCGTCTTGGCTGTCACCGCAGGAACGAAGGAGCAGGAATGTCCTGGTATTAATGCAAGCCATCTGGTTTGTTTCTACTTTCTTTCCTCCCGACTCCTCAGATGCTGCTCTTCCAACAGCTGGGGCTGTCACGCTCATGTATACACCATGCATTCCTGATGCACAAGCACAGAGACCTGCTATCTTAAGGAAATCTGACGACCTCTTCTATTTTCCTTCCACGCAGGCATGGCTCCGTAAATTCGGCTACCTGTCTCAAGCCAGCAGGCAGATGTCCACCATGCAGTCGGCTCAGATTATGTCCAAAGCTATCAGCGACATGCAGCGCTTGTATGGACTGGAGGTGACCGGGAAGGTGGACTCTGCTACGCTCGCGTAAGCTCTTTATGTGCTGAGAGCAGTGACCACAAAGAGAGCTCAGGGATATTGTATAGACTTTTTTTTTCTATTCATTTGCATATTATGAATTCAACGTGTGTGTGTGTGTGTGGGGGGGGATGGATGGAATGACAGTTCCAGGCACAAATCCCAAATACGAGCATGGCTTTTCCTTCAAAGATTTTCAAAATAATTTTACTGCAAATTCTCGGCTGGAAACGCTGTTTGTGGTTTTCTTGTCAAGTGTGAAGACGGTCAGTTTGTGTCTGTGTGGTAGATTTGTAGTGAAACTACAAAGACCTGCATCTTAGATTAGCTGTTCATAAAGCCTGGAAACTGAGGGATACATCTGCATCTTCTTCCACTTATCCAATTTACAGTGGCAGGGGGTTGGAGCCTGTCCCGGGTATCGTAGGGCAAGAGGGGAGGGTATAATTTAGGACTGCCAATAAACCTAGCCCCTTATACCCACTATCATGCAAAGGGAACATGCAAACTCCACAGAGGATTTGAACTCTGACTGTGAATTAATGGTGCAAAGCGCCACAACACCGCCCACACTTTGCTGAAAAGTCCAGGTTACAGCAGCCGGCTGGGGAATGTTTCCAAAAGTTCCCAAGAGCTGCATCGATATACAGTCAGGTCCATAAATATTGGGACATCGACACAAGTCTAACATTTTGGGCTGTATACACCAGCACAATGATTTCAAATGAAACGAACAAGATGTGCTTTAACTGCAGACTGTCAGCTTTTATTTGAGGGTGTTTACATCCAAAGCAGGTGAACAGGGCAGGGTAATGGGACAGAATAAGAACCACTTTTTAATACTTGGTTGCAAATCCTTTGCAGTCAATCACAGCCTGAAGTCTGGAACACAGACATCACCAGACGCCGGGTTCCATCCCTGCTGATGCTCTGCCAGGCCTCTACTGCAACAGTCTTCAGTTCCTGCTTGTTCTTGGGGCATTTCCCTTCAGTTTTGTCTTCAGCACGTGAAATGCTCAGTCGGATTCAGGTCAGGTGATTGACTTGGCCATTGCAAAACAGTCCACTTCTTTCCCTTCAAAGACTCTTTGGTTGCTTTTGCAGTTTGCTTTGGGTCGTTGTCCATCTGCACTGTGAAGCGCCATCCAATGAGTTCTGAAGCATTTGTCTGAATATGAGCAGATAATATTGCCCGAAACACTTCAGAATTCATGGTGCTGCTTTTGTCAGCAGTTACATCATCAATAAATACAAGAGAACCAGTTCCACTGGCAGCCATACATGCCCACGCCATGACACTTCGAGCGCCATGCTTCACCGATGAGGTATGCTCAGGATCATGAGCAGTTCCTTTCCTTCTCCATGCTCTTCTCTTCCCGTCACTCTGGTACGAGTAGATCTTGGTCTCGTCTGTCCACAGGATGTTGTTCCAGAACTGTGATGGCTTTTTTTAGATGTTGTTTGGCAAACTCTAATTTGTCCTTCCTGTTTTTGGGGCTCACTAATGGTTTCCATCTTGTGGTGAACCCTCTGTATTCACACTGGTGGAGTCTTCTCTTGATTGTTGACACACATGCACCACCTCCTGGAGAGTGTTCTTGATCTGGCCAACTGTTGTGAAGGATGTTTTCTTCAGCAGGGGAAGGATTCTTCGGTCGTCCACCGCAGTTGTTTCAGGTCTTTTGGTGTTGCTGAGCTCACCGGTGCGTTCCTTCTTTTTGAGAATGTTCCAAACAGTTGTTTTGGCCACGCCTGATGGTTTTGCTGTCTCTCTGATGGGTTTGCTTTGTTTTCTCAGCCTAATGATGGCTTGCTTCACTGATAGTGACAGCTCTTTGGCTCTCATCTTGGCAGTTGACAGCAACAGGCTCCAGATGCAAACAGCACACTTGAAATGAACTCTGGACCTTTTGTCTGCTCATTGTAATTGGAGGAATGAGGGAATAACACACACCTGACCATGGAACAGCTGAGAAGCCAATTGTCCCATTACTTTTGGTCCCTTAACAAGTGGGAGGCACATATGCAAACTGTTGTAATTCCTACACCGTTCACCTGCTTTGGATGTAAACACCCTCAAATAAAAGCTGACAGTCTGCAGTTAAAGCACATCTTGTTCGTTTCATTTGAAATCATTGTGCTGGTGTATACAGCCCAAAATGTTAGACTTGTGTCGATGTCCCAATATTTATGGACCTGACTGTACACGTTTCTAGGTTAGTCTGGTGAGAATGAGAAAGCTAATCTCATCCAGCTTAATGTGGAACTGAGAAATCCTTTATTGTGCGCGTGTGTGTGTGTGTGCGCAGGGCCATGCGGCGGCCTCGTTGTGGCCTCCCTGACAGAAAGCCCGAGGATCTGGTTGACAGGAAGAAGCGCTACGTTCTGACTGGGCAGCGCTGGGACAAAGATCACATCACCTACAGGTTTCCAGACCAAATGAAACAATCAGACTGCAATAAATCAAAGTGCTCCGCAGCTCTGATACGATTTTACTTCTGACTTCAGTATAATGGACCAAAACATGCCCCCGTCCCTGGGAGAGGAACGGACGTACGATGCGATCCGCAAAGCCTTCGGTGTTTGGAGACGAGTCACGCCGCTCACCTTTGAGGAGCTACCACCTGGACACGGCGTCAACAGCAGCCAGACGAAGCTCGCCGATATCCTGCTGCTGTTTGCCTCCGGTTTCCATGGTGATATGTCACTGTTCGATGGCGAGGGTGGGTCTCTGGCCCACGCCTACTATCCCGGACCGGGAATAGGTGGGGACACGCACTTTGATTCAGATGAGCCTTGGACACTTGACAACGAAAACCCGAAAGGTCAGTGGGTTTGTTTTTTTCTGCTTATGTGAGAAATTCAACTTAATCTCTGAACAGTCGCCGTTTTGGTCGATATCAGCTGGGAGGCAACCTGGAAGGATGCGGTCGTACTCGGTGACCTGACTCGCTTTGACTCCGCAGTGATAAATGTTTGGGCCGAGAGCTCTCAGTGCCTTTTGTGTTCGTTTGTGTGCGCACCAACCACAAAGCAATGTGCATTTTCCTTGTTGTGCACACTCAAAGCAGATGACCCACAGCTACGCCTGTCTCTCTCGCAGGTATAGATCTGTTCCTGGTTGCGGTTCATGAGCTCGGTCACGCTCTGGGTCTGCAGCATTCGGATAACCCCAGAGCCACAATGGCTCCTGTCTACCAGTGGGTCCACACACAGAACTTCACGCTCCATGAGGATGACATCAGAGGCATACAGCACATATATGGTGAGAAGAACGCGCTCTATGGATGTCTTTGGTGATACAGAGTTATTTCTACCAGCATGAGATGTTCTTTTCTTTGGGCTGCAGAGCTTCTAAATCTCTGTATGCAGAAGAGATGTGAAACCCCACAGTGCTCTGGAAATTATGGATATTACTAGAAATGATGCTGATTATCCTCATGGTGAATCCTTGCACAGCGGTCCAGTGCAGTGTTTGGGGCTACTTAAATGCATATTAGCAGTATTTATGGAAAAACACTATTGAATCTAAAAGCAAATGCCCCAAACTTTATTTTGTCTTTCATGATTAACATTTCAAATCTGCCCTACCCCTGCAGCGAAAGCCTTTCCATCTATTCTTGATTGTCCGTGTTGTCGGGCTCACCATCCTCAGAGGGGTGTCATCATCTTCTGTTTCCATGCTGAGCTTTGATCGCTGCGCTGTTAGCGAGCCAAACGTCAGTCATCGCTCTCACGTCACATCTGGATCCTTACAGAGGATGCAGGAAGCAGCAGATGCAGAATGTCATGCATTCCAGTATGATGAGCCCATCTTCTTCCTCCTGAATAGATGGCGTTGTTGATTAACAGACGCCGTTTGTCGGCGTATCGCGCTGCATTAAAACCACAGACGTGAATTGTTCACACTTGATGATTTATGAACTTTGCATTTCTTTTGCTTTAGATAAAAACGAGGATTTTCCGCAGGTTTCACGCTTGTTTTGATTTTACATCCCGTGACGTTTGATTCTCTCACATCAGCTGTTTTATATAAATCCGCCTCTGAGTAACAGCTCGGAGCTTTTAGCGCTCTGAGCTGGAGATGGTTGATACAAAACTGAGCTTAAAGCAAGAGCGAACGTTTACCGTGTGGTCAGACACACGACCCGAATAAATCCAAGTGCTGCTCGTTATGGTGTTTGCTCACAGCTTCCTCCTGATTGGCTACGAGTGAATGCTGCTGAGAAGACTCGCTGACATCTTTGGGTTTGGGATGTATTTTGCTTTGGAGCCAAAAATGTTGTAACATCGGCGGGCAGTCAGCCTCGTCCTGGAGCTTTTTCCTTTCTTTGTGCAGAGACGCAGACACGCCCGCTGTCTTCCTGTGAGGATAGCGGCCGACTAGGGTCTTTGTAAATGTGAAGTTTTTATTCCACTGAAACACAGCTGAATTTAAAAGAAGAAAACTGATGACAGTATCTTTGTGCTGCGATGGCCTCAGTTCTCGTTTGGCAGCACTGAGCTTTTGTTGTTTTGCTGCAGACGGTGGATTTCTTCACATACTGGCCTCGATGTGTTCTGAGCAAAGCCTTTGGTCCAGTGTAACCCACGCATCTTGGAGCCCATCAGCTGATACCTATTGCATAACTGACTTTATCTGTGTGTTTTCCTCTCTTAGCAACCAGCAGATTTTTCCAACGAGCAGCAGCAGAGTGACAGTCGGTCACAAAATGGAAAACTGCGTTCGCTCTGCTGCAGAGTATTTAGTCGAAAGGAAGCGAATAAAAGCAAGTATTAATGTCTAATGCCACACAGACTGGAGCCTTTCCTGTTGCCTCTTTTTTCCCCCAAGGTCCTCCCCTCATCACAGATGCTTCGCCTACTTCTCCGCTCGCCCCTGACGATGAACCCAGCGTCGACTCCCCCACCTCCCCTTCTGTCCCAGAAGAAGAGCCCACCACTTATTCTCCAGCCGATGCCCCACGCGTCCCGACGGACGCCGACCCGGATCCTCCGGCCCAACCCGAACCGAGCCCCGGTCCCACCTCGCCTCCCATCCTCCCTACCTCCACCACCACCCAATCCCCGCCTGTGCCAGAACCCGTCACTCCACGGAAAGACATCCCTCCTCCTCCTCGGCCTCCCAAGCTGCCAGACAACCAGCCCCCTGACATCTGCGATGGAGACTTTGATACAGTGACCATGCTGAGGGGGGAGATGTTTGTCTTCAAGGTAAACAAACAGGGCTTTGCTCACAGCTGCAATGTTCGAGTCATGCGAGGGAAAGTAACTAAGACGTGCATCGTTGTTTTGCTTTTGCAGGGTCGTTGGTTCTGGCGGGTTCGGAGGAACCGCGTCCTCGATAATTACCCCATGCCGATATCTGTATTCTGGAACGGTCTCCCCACCGACATTGACGCAGCGTACGAACGTCACGACGGCAAATTTGTCTTTTTTAAAGGTACGTCACAGCTGCTTATTCCAAATAAAACCAGCCACTTCCACAAAGCGTCGCCCACCTGCTGAGCAGCGAGTGCGTTACGCCTCGACGTTATTCTAGTTTAGCTCTAGTTCCTCATTTCGCGTCCTCTCTGAGGAGCAGCGTAACATGAACTGTTCGATGCAAACTCTGCATTCGTCTCCTGCACAACTTGATTTACAAGGTTCTGAATCACACGGATTTGAGTAAAAAATGTTTAAAACACCACAGAAAAAGAAAAAACTCCCCTCAAAAGAATAAAACATTACGACACGATTGCTGCAAACTGAACGAGAGCACCGAGTTTGCATTTATGAATGTGTGTTTGTGAGTTCACTGGGTGTTTTGAACAGGCCTGTGCAGCGTGGCAGCTGTTATTGGCTCCAGCTGAGCCCGGACGGCCTCATGAAAGAGGTGGAGGGGCTTACATCAGCCTCTCTGACTGCGCTGCTCCAGATGTGAGCAGCTGTGGTGCTTTGCTGTGCGTTTTCAGGATCTCTGATCAGGCTCGGACACTTCAGTACATTTTATTGGCCTGGAGCGCAGCGCAGCAGCCTGGCAGTAGAAGTGGAAAGTGGCTGAAAGTGTGTCCAAAGATTAGGCTTAGGAGAGGAGTCAACCCTCACATATGGAAGTCTTGGAAAATGTGTGAATGCATGCCATTTCAACCTCGCCTGTCTTTTCTGCTTTTCTTCTGGAGTGAGTAAACCTGCTGATGTACACCATGTGTGCTGACCATGAGCTTCTTTTCATCTTCCTTTCTTCTCCTCAGATTTACCTTTGCCTTATTCTTCCCTCTGTTGGCCGTGTCAGAAACACGAGCTGTGCGAGAAAGCTCGACTCGGTGTGCTTTTGTTTCTTTGGACAAAGCGTCGTCTATCTGTGCCTACAGGTGACAGATTCTGGCTGTTCAGGGAGGCTGACGTGATGCCAGGGTACCCACAGCCCTTATATCACTATGGAAAAGGCGTTCCTCCACACGGGATCGACACAGCGATCTGGTGGGAGCCCAACGGGCACACGTACTTCTTCTCTGGAGACAGGTATGATTCGGCTACACGGAGCGCGGAGGTTTTAACGCCGCGTAGACATCTTAATACGTCTTATTGTCTCGCAGGTACTGGCGATACAACGAGGAGACACGGACCACAGACCGCGACTTCCCCAAACCAATTAGCAGATGGGGCAGGATCCCTCCCTCCCCTAAAGGAGCCTTCCTCAGCGATGATGGGGGTAAGTCAGGAGTTTAAATTGAGCAATTTGCCCGGGTTTTATTTTAGCAGTGGGAACATCCAACAGCTTCGGTTTATGAGAATCACAACAAACATAAAAAGCTTCGCCTTCACTGTTGGAAGCAAGAGAACAGCCTGACAGAGCAGCAGGGTGGAGGTGGAGGGAGCGAAAGAAGGAAAGGTTGGAGGAAGCAGTGAAGCAACAAAGCAGAGAGAGGAAGGAGAGCGCTGGTCTGTGGGTTGGCCCGTCCTTCCTTTTGGAAATGAGATTTGTGTCCGAGCAGCTCTGAATGCACTCGGTAAGAGTCGGATCACATCTCCACCCAGACGCTGTGCAGGCAGCCTGTGCAGCACAGAGAAGAATCTGTGCTTATTCATGCAGCATGTTGTCAATAAGTGCACGAAGGCGACAGATTTCAAAGGATTTATTGCATTTTGGTTTTATTTTATCCAATAATTTGGCAGACTTGACTAATATAGTCAGGCCTGGCTGTCACCAAAGCGGCGCACTGTGTGAGTCTTCGCACACGACCTTTTGAATGTGCAGCGATTCTTTCTTTTGCATGTTTGTCGCACTCGTACGTTTCTGATCATCAAACAAGTTTACAATATTAGAGAGAAGTAACCCGAGTAACTAGAAAAGACTGTTTTTAAATGATGAGTTTATTCATTAGTCCACCTTCTGAAAAAGTTTCTGTTATTAGAATTTGTTTGATCTGAAACATTGTGACAATAATGCAAAATCATGAGGGGGAAATACTCTTTCATAGCACCAAGTTACAAAATACAGTTACAGGATTAATCTGCGTGGGTCGCCTCTGCAGGTTCGCTGTTGAACACGACGAGGTCGGCACGTAACCCTGGAAAACCACAAGTTCATGTTTTTGATGATTTGACTAATAAGATGCGATGAGTGAATTTATTTTGGTATCTTTGGACGGAGCCTCTTCCTTGTTTGTGAGAGCTAGCTGTAGCTGTACGGATAACTACGTACATTCACTGCCTGTTAGATTGATCTGACTCTATAATGGTCTACAGCCAGAAAGGCTCTATTCACATGAGGGGGGCTTGCTCCCAAACATCAGCACTGTGCATGCTGTATAATCGGCATCAAGTGAAAATCTCTCCTTTCTTCTCCTCGTGCAGCTTACACCTATTTCTACAAAGGCACCAACTACTGGAGATTTGACAATCGCAGATCCGAAGCAGACAAAGGCTATCCCCGCTCCATCCTGAAGGACTTCATGGGTTGCGTGGGAGTCCCCGACCCGAAGCCCGACGCAGACGCCGAGCCGGAAGACAAACCGGTCGAGCCTTCAGACCGAGGCAAAGACGAGCACAAAGAGCCAGACAGAGACGCAAACTCGGAGCGAGAGGAGACCGCTAAGCCTGACAGCACAGAGGAAGAGGAGGACAAAGACGTGAACGTGGTCGTGGCTGTGGCTGACAATGAATCAAAGGTCATGACCCTGATTATGGTGGTCGTTCCCCTGGTGCTCATCCTGTGCATCCTCGTCCTAATCTATGCCATCCTCAGGACTCTTCAGAACAAAGAGACACCGAGGGCCTTGGTGCACTGCAAGCGCTCGCTGCAGGACTGGGTGTGACGCTCGAGTCGAAGAGAGAGTTCAGGTGTCCGTCGTTCATCTGGTGCAGCCGCCCAGTTTTTACTTTTGGCGTTAGAGGAAAAGAAGCTTTGAAAAAGCTGACGATGGGCCCGTTAGTCATTGGGAGAACTTTCACTGCTCGTGTGACGTGATAAAAAAATTGTGAATTCAGCGCCTGTGGAGCTTTAGCTCGGCCACAGGTTTTTCTACTGTGCCTCTCTCTGTGCCTTCCAAAAGTCTGAAAAGGCCCCCCCCCCCAAAAAACCCCTTTCTTTAAAATAAGTTTTCACCAGGGATGTGTGATTGCATCAATTCCAACTGGACTGAGGACGTTTGGGGGATTATTTGTAGTGTAAATGCAGACCAAGTCTTTCGAGCACATATATTAGAAGCACCGTCACATAAACACGTTTGCTTGCATTAATAAGAACAAGCTTTTTAATGAAGATGCTTCAGCAGCGTTTCTTCTGTTTAGAACAGATCGTTTGCACTTTGCCGTCTCTGTTGTGCTGTTTGCGTCTCTGCAGGCCGAGCTCGTCCTCCAACAGCGCAGGAATGTTCGACAGCTGCGTGTCCATGACTTGCCCGCTTCCCACTGAGCCCATTATGTCTGACCTTTCCTGCACACATGACACACATTAGCTCAAAAACAGCTTGTATCTGCACTGATTTGTGCATGCATGTTCGCTCATCCACCCGCAGCACGTAGCTTTTCTTTTCTTTTCGTGCACAGACACTTAGGCTCCAGCCTCCCCTCCTCCTGCCGCAGCCTCTTGCAGACTGCAGCGCTACAAACACGATCCCAGCGGAGACGTGCTGATATACGGCCGGTGCCGGCGTTAGGATTTATTCGCCTTTTTATGAGCGCTGTCGAGAATTATCGAGGTCTTTTATAAAATCTGCAGTGTCAGCCTGTGGAGAGTGAAAAAGCAACTGTGTCCTCTTTTTATGTCTCTATTGCTTTTTTAATGCTAAACAGAGTTAAAGCTAATTATGTCTACGAGGGAGAGGCCTGAATGGGTGAGGGTCTGGTTTCCATTAAGGCCACATGTTGCAGATTTAGGGCCGTCAGGCATGAGGGGAGGCGGGGGAGTCGGGAAAAATGCAGAAGGGGGAGTTATAAAAAGTGATGGCGGTGAGTAAAGAGTAGAAGGGAAATGAGAGGGAAGGAGATGAGGAGAGGGAGGGCTCTGTCAGTGTTTCCTCAGGTTTCTGCATAAAAGGACGAGCGAGCGAGGGAAGGAAGGAAGGAGAAAGGGAGGTTAGAAGGATTTAGAGGAGGCGCAATGCTGGCGTTGTGCCTCCTGACCTACATTGGGCCACTCGAGTCCGCTTCTCCTTTTCAGCTCTTGTTTCTGCTGCGCTCTGTTTTCACGGCTACAGATGACTGTCTGCTTTTTCTCTGCTCGCTTTTCTTTCTTTCACTCATGTATTTTCCCCGGTGTGTTCATTTTCTCCTCCACTCTTCTGGAAAGTCAGCTCAAGCATATACAAGATAATGAATCCACAGAAGCATCTGCAGGACGGGATCTCGTCTTATTGTCTTTCCCGGCTCATCGATCAGCATTTTAAACTTGTTAACCTTTGCATCGAGTTTCGTTGTGACTTGTTTTCCCTCCTGTGGAAACTGCGGCGGCGTTTTTTTAAAGAACTATATAGATAGTACGGGGAAAGGATTTCTTACTTTTTTTTTACATTATCATTTGTAGTTTTGCACATTTTGTGTGCATTCAGATGTTTTGTTAGAGCAGCAGTAGATTTTTTTTTGATGATGATGATGATGATGCATGCAGGGCATGTTCGATAAGGCCTGTGCACTCCAGTGTAGAGTACATTAAAGGTTTCACATAAAACTCAAATAAAAAGCAACACGAGTCGTCTTTGCTGCTGCGTGTTTCCAAGCTGTGTCTGAAACTTCAAGTTCAGCAGTTTTATTCATACTTTTGGCCACAAGAGGGAGTCGTTGCTCCAGGAAATGGTGAAAACTTGATCTCACAAAACTGCATTTTTTTTTCCTACTTAAATCTTTAATATTATGAATGTATGTCGATGTTGAATAATAAGAATCTTTCAAATGAAATATCTTTGTTGCATTTATTTACATCTAAAGTCAGCAGTGACTTTGTAAATCACAACTTTATTTGCGGTCTAATGCAGCGGTCCCCAACCCCCGGGCCTCGGACCGGTACCGGGCCGCGAGAGTTGAGGCTCAGGTGTGAAATGTCTGGTTTTCAGGGTTTTTATCGGTTTTCAGCGTTATTTTGTTATCGTTTTATCGTTAACTCTGTTTTCCTGGGTCTTTTCACGTGTGTTATGAATAAATTTTCTTTTTTTCGGTACCGGTACTGGTTTTATTTTGTTGTATTTATCCGCGACACCTTAAAGGCCGGTCCATGAAAATATTGTCGGGCATAAACCGTCCGTGGCTCAAAGGTTGGAGACCGCTGCTCTAAACGATAAAATGATGGAAATGAAAACGAGCTCCACCTCTAACAGTTTCACTCGTCTAATATTCGCAGTAAGTAAATTTGCAGTTGTGTGTGTGTGTGTGTATATATGTGTATATAATTTTTTTTTAAGCATATGAAATTTGACTTTGATCCTTTTTCAGTGTTTTTCTGTTGGTTTGAGTAAAGGACCAAAGTATTGAGCTCTGCACGTGTGTGTGTGCGCGCGCGCGTGTGTGCGCATGAGGCTCCTGCGTGACTTCCTTTGTCTTGTACATGAGAGCACCTTGATGTCAGAGGTAATGAGGATTAGTTTCGTCACAGATCATCCACTCCTCAGCTGCTCTCTCTTTTCCTTTGACTCTCAGATTAACTCAAATATGACAAATCGGGGGGGGGTGTCCCAGCTGGACACAGCTGTGTATCCCAGCTGGACACAGCTGTGTATCCCTGTGCTCTCTCCTACCTCATCTTTTCCCAAACCAGCCGCCTCACCGGGTCTAATCCAGCTGTTCAATTAGAATTGAGGACAGTGTGGAAGTACTGTGTCCAGCCAAGGCCCAGCTCTGTGTCATCAGCCTGTTTTCTCAGCTTATCTCCTGCTGAGCTGATAATGAGATCTACCTGCTGCCTTCTGCTTCATCAGCACCATAAATGGTTTTCACTCTCAAATGCAGCACGAGGCTTTTTTAAATGGACATTTATCTGAACTGGTGAATGTTTGTCCACCTGCCAGGGACAGTCTGTTTACCTGGATGATCAGACCGACGATCTGCTCTTTGAACCAAATGAATCTGATAGCCATAAAATTGCCTCTTCCTGCAGTTGTTCTTTTTCAGCTCCACCTTAGAGCTCGCACGCCATCAGCCGGGGCGACCAACACACCACGTCTTGTTTACCAGTTTTCTTTTTAACAACGGCTGTCCTGAATCCTCGTTAATCACCCTCTGGCATCGGGCCGTGCTTTCTTTCTCATACCTATTTCCCAATCCTCTCATTAGCTTTGTCCACCTTCCTTTCTTTCTGCTTTCATTCTTAAATCCCTCTGTTATAGTTGCAACCACTCTTCCTCAGGTTGGCGAGTAAAAATGACACCATAATGCAAAAAAGGCTGAAATATCCCCATTTCAAGTGTCAGTGCACCAGCGTCCTCTACACTGTACACTAGTGATGACCAGAAGCATCTGAACTGTTTTTGGACGCCTTACCTTCGTGTCAGTGTGTTGGATCCGACCGATGATGCCTCACTGGTGGGCGTCGTTTTCATAGATGTGACTGCTTCGATCGGGCTGTGAGTCCCACATGCAGGGCCGGTGTACAGTTTGGGCTCCAGCTGATAAAAGATATAAAATAGTGAAATAGGAAAAAAAGGATTCATACTTTTCCTCATCTTGACCTTATTCTAAGATAAGGAGTGATTTTTACTTCAAAGTCTTCACTGCTAATTCAAACACACATTCAGGCATCAGGTTGGGCTCTTAATTATTCAACAAGGTGTTTTCAGACATGTTTGGTTCATACTGTACTGACAGCATCACACAGGTTCTCAGCTCCACATCCGTGATGGGAATTTCCTATTTCACCAGACGCTCCATTGGATTGACAGCCGGAGGCCGTGCAGGCCATCGAGTGCAGCGAATTCACTGTTACAGTCAAGAAATCAGTTTTAAATGATTTGGTTTTGTGACATCTTGTGTTTGTCCTGCTATCAGAAGATGCCCACACTGATCATAGACGGATGGACGTCAGCAACAATAGTCCGCTAGGCTGTGGTGTCCAAACAATAAGGGCAAGAGCGTCCCCACCGCCTTTGACTGCTGACAGAAGTGGATCCATGCCTACCAGTCTGATCTACAGCTGGGATTTTACAAACATATTTAAATGTGATGAATATAATGAAACGAATAAGATTCAGATAAGATTATGAAAGATAACTGCGACTCTTTTCACAATTACTATAAATATTACATCTGCGTGGAACTTTTGAGTCTGAAAATGTTCAATAAACAGAAGTCTGGAGGAAGGAAGTGCCGACAGAGGCCTAAAGACACAGTATGCTCTCTTCATATTTTTACTGATTCAGTGACATTTAGGCTGACAGAGCGAAACTGTTAGACTGCTGAACGAGCTGAACGAGCTTTGCTGAAAAAGCTCCGACGTGGATGGGAAAAGGTGAAAGTGCTCCAACACGGCAACGATGATCAAGCGACTCACTTCATTCGTGGTGTCATAGGTTTCTGTCATGGAGGAAACACAACCAAGTAAAATACATGACGTAACAAATGTAGAGCAACTTAATATAAGAAGTTTTATAAACTCACAGGAAACACCCAGCAGGGCAGTGCAGACTAAAGCTGACCACTCCTCCTCTCACTCCTCTTCCTCCTGTCGTTCCAATCTATGACTGCATCAGTAATACACTTCTAAGCCTGACGCTTTATGCCTCACTACGCACTGACACGATGAAGGACTCACACATGCTGAGCAGCTGAGTTCAGTGACCCTGCAGTGTGGGAGCTTATTTAATCAGCAGAATAGTGAGAACGAATCCAAAATGATCAACATTCCTGTGAAAAGCAAAGATGAAAGAAATTTAGTTACTTTAATAATCAAATTGAATTGAATTCATCACTCGTTTATGATTCAGGTGAAGTCTCTGCTGCATGTGCTCACATGTTTAAACGACTGTGATCTGACAGAAAAGGGACCTTTCCCCTTTCTGTTACAAACAATCCACCACCTGCTGGTTGCTCCGTGTTTTCCCGTGACAGCAGTTTATAGGTTACGGAGAAGCTTCCTCGCCGTTAATCTGCGATTGCTCACGGTCTGGGATTGGGCCTTGACCTTCAGGTGCTGCGGGTTAATCCCGTTAGCCCCGCGGGCATCCGCTGTGAAGATCTCAGCAGACCTGCGCCGGCTGTGCCACACTCTAGATCCGTGTACCACCGGCATGCAGAACCACCTGTAGGCACGCAGGTAAGCAACGCAGCTCTGTTATCACGTACACAGTGAAATGTGGAACTTTGTGGGTTACGTAGGTGGTGCTTTAAAACCTGATGGAGCAGACAACCGGTGAAGTTAATGTGGTTTCATTTCCTGTGCTGAGTGAGCGTGTGACCCTCCTTAAAGATCTTTTGAAGCCGGGACTTTAATTTGAACTTTAAAAAATAAAAATCTAAATACAATCAAAGTTAAATTATAATCTTGAACTATTTTCTTTCTTTTTTCTTTCCTTTTTTTTACAAGTGAAGGGACCATTTATAATAAGGATATGAGTTGATCCTAGGCACTGAGGATGACAGTTAGTAGATTACTTGGGGCCAGAGTTGCACTATTTAATGCCACAAATTTGAGAAGAGGCGCCTCTGATCTCTGCTGATGGGGACGACAGCAGCTCACACAGTTTTTCAAAGAAGTCTTCTCCGTGGATCATCCACGAGAGGATTCTTCCTTGAAACGATTCCCACTGCTGAAAACGCGACAGCTCCGAGCGCTGTGAAGCCTTTACCAGACCTTTGTTGTGCTGTATTATGTGTCTAGAGCCAACCTGTAGATGCAGCTGAATGAATGAATCTTTAAGACCGGCCCTCGTTAGCTCACCATCACTGATAGCTGCCCCCTCAGCCAGGCTCGAGTGATGCTGACAAAGGAAAATTAAAACGCATGTTTTAAAAGAACAATCTTGTGATTGACATTTAGAAATAATCCCAGCGTTTGTCTCGTGTCCTGGATGGTGAGATCACGGTGTAGGACATCCTCCGGTTTTCCTGACGTCTCCCCCCTGCTGATGAGGATTATCTCAGTGGGCTGATGAACTGTCACCGAGGACAATATGGATAACTTGTGCATATATGAGTGAGATCAGTCAGCACAGTGGCTCTCCTGGAGGCTCTGAGACACTCCATCTTCAGTCGTGCGCACAGGCCGCTTCAAATGTTCTCGTTCCCACATTTCTTCCTTTCTGAGCGATCGACCCCCCGCGGAGCCTCTCGCTAAAGCAGCTTATGGTTTGCTGCTGCTGGAACAAAGTCCTGCCTCCTAACGTCCTCTAACTCTTGACTTCTGTGTGGGCTTTGCATGGCATGCATGATCCTGGTTTCTGGGTGTCTCTCCTGTGAGCTGACAGTGTGTGAGCAACAATGAAGCAGCTGAACGTCTCTTTCAGGCAGCTGAAGAAGCTGCTTTAATGAAGCCACCAGTAAAGAGTTACTGATTTATTATCATTATCATCAGGACCATCAGCCGTGTTTGATGAGCGGCTCTTTAAGAGGCTGACTGTGTGTTTCTGTGTTTTACTTCAACAGGATGTTTAACTGGGTGGTGAAAGTGGTTCCCCAGCCTCCTGATGCTGGGACAGACGATGCTGCCAAGACCCCTGATGCTGTACGACAGCACACACACACACACACACACACACACACACACACACACACACACACACACACACACTCATACAGAGTAATTAACAGTCTGTTTTCTTTCCTTGCAGCCAACCAAAAATAAAGCGGGTGAGGATTATCTGTAACCTTTTATTCTATTTCCACCTTTATCTTTATACGTGCACATGGATCTACAGCAAATGTCTTTAACTTCTCCTGCAGCTGCAGTGAAGACAGCTGCACTGAAAGATGCAGACGAGGTTTCAGAGGAAGGGTAAATGTTTTTGTCCATCAGCATCTTTGTGTCTCACGGCGTGCACAGTTGCTGACTTCTACCTGTCTGTGTGCGCATCCTTTACAGCCAAGCGCAGACTGGAGTATTGGGCTGGTTTTCTAATGGGTTCGTCAGCACGCTCCCACAGCCTGCGGGCAGCCCCCGACTCAGCAGAGCCAACTCTGAAGCCAAGGTAAGTCTGCAGATGACTGGAGTGAGTTTCTGTGAAGTCGTAGTCGTAGGAGATGATCTATAAAACACAGAATCTAAGCTGCTCGTCTCCCTTACGATGTGGAAATGTCCTGAGCACAGTTTAATAATATTTTATAAGGTACATCATCATTCAAGGCGTTTCTAACAGAGCACCTTTTTTCCAACACCAAATGTTCACACAGTTTGCCGGGGGCTCGTGTCCTAAGGAGCTGCTGTAAATGAGGCTAATGAACAGCTTTATTCCAGCGACACTAGCATGCATAAACTCACCACTGTGGCTCCTTCTCATGAAGAAATCCTCACGTGAAGCTATTTTATCAGCTGAGTTTGTGCAGCTTGTACAGTTATTAGTTCAAATTACTATAAGAAAGCAGAAGGACCTCCTCATGATCACCTCGCCAACCATGTGACTGATGAACCAACACACACGAGTGTGTCACAATCATTGCATTTGTTTTGTTGGTGTAAAGATGCACTTTTTCTGAGCTGTTTTATTTAAGGTTCATTTTATTTTCTATTCTTCTCTCTTTGTTTCTATATATTCAGTCCGGAGAAGATGGAGACAGGTACAGTATGACTGAACATGTGCTGAGTTTATAATGAACTCGCATGAAATCAAATGAAATCGTGCCTCCCTGTCAGGTCTGGAGTGATCACCTGGGTCACTCAGGGTCTGACCAAAGTGCTGCCTCAGCCTGACGACAAGTACAGAGAGACTGAGAAGGACTCGAAGGACGAGGAGCACACGGAGGTTAGAAAACAAAGCCAGAGAATATTTAACATTTAAAAAGTGTCAGTTTGTCCTATGAGCACATCGTCTCTGTGCAGCATGTTTGTCTTTAGGAAACGACAACACCAACACTAAACTTACTGAGTGTTTAATGGAGTTCAATGAACAGTTAAATCAGCCACACTGTGAAGCAGCGTGATGCTGTCCCACAGGCTTAAAAGACTAATCGCATATAAGGATCAAGGGTATAAAGGAAGTTGGGGGGGTATCCTGTTAAACACCTTCACTGCTATCTAAACCAGGGCACCAACACTGATAAACAAAACAACACCGACATCCTGCACCTGCCATCGTCTCTGTGTTACGGCTTCTTTTAATCTCTTTCTGTCTGCTGTTCCAGGTGTACGACATAGCCACGATGCCAGGTACGTTCCACAATCATGCAAACACACTGCATGCATGTTTCTAAAATCACCCTTGATGATTATGCAGTGAGTTAATAACAAAATGCATGAAAGAAATGTTTGTGGGGGGGTTTAAACTCAGATTTCGATCCACTTCCCCACATCCCTGTGGTGGAGATGGTGTCAGACGACGAGGACACAGAGAGTTTGGCCCCTCACTTTCCTCCCAAGTGAGTGTAAACCACCTCCTGCTCCACGTGCACACATGGCAGCCGTAGCGAGGAATAATCTGCACCGCGTTGTCTGAATTGCTCTCCAAACACTTACAGGCGTCCTAATATTAAATACACACTAATGACACAAATCACCGAGTTAAATATTCTGCAGACGTTCAGGAGGCCCCCTTGCACGCTCTGTTTCAGTGTGGTGACCTGGATAAAGCAGATAGTTCCTCAGCCGGTCATACTGCCCCCTGGTGCTGTGCCCGTGGAACCGTCAACCAAGTCCTCCTGCACCTCTCTGGATAAAAGTAAAGAAAGCCTGAAAATCCCAGTTTAACAGCCAGAAACTGTGACTTTGTTTGAGGATATATTTTTTGTAAAGTGCTTCATGTTGTCTGCTCCACAGTTCTGTCTCCGCCGCCTGAATCGCTCAGTGGAATCTCACTGGATACTGAAAGCAAGGCCTCTGGGTAAGTCTTGAATAACATCCACGTGGATGAAGCGGGACTTGAGAGTGCCTCCTTTTTAGCAAAGCAGCATTTTGGGGGTTGCTCGTGGTAGATGTGTTTGCACAGTGTGCGGCACACTCCTGACACTTGGGTTTCTGCTCCACAGTGTGGTGAACTGGTTTGTGTCAGGGCTGGGTCTGAAGATGCCGCAGCCTGTTTCTCCATCCAAGGATGAAGCTACTGTAAGTTGTGGGGAACAAACAACAAAACCCTGACACCTGATTTTTCTTCTGCCATCTACTGATTTATGTGTCCCCTGTTTCAGACGGTACCTGAACTCATTCAGAAAGGTGAGTTTTTCCTGTCAGTACTTTTGGATCCTGAGCGCCACAGTTCACAGTTCAATCAGCTGGATTACTATTCTGTGTTTTCTAATTCTAGAGAAGAGCGTAGAGTTTGTAGAAAAGAACAGAACAGAGTGAACCCGTCTCATCACCAGTAAAAACTCTATTTTGATTTTGAACAGCTCCTCTGCATCAGTGTGACATTTGCAGACTCTTGCATGCATGCTTTCTGTTGAAGCAGCTTCTTGTTTTTTCCTTATAGTTAATGAAGAGGTGTTTTGGTCGGACGGTCGGAGCCTAACTCAGTCCCTCTTCTCCTTCTGTTTCAGGGGGGAAGGTGCTGCGAGCCCCTTAAACAGCAGGAGGAGACGACTGGGGGATGCTCTGACCCGCACAGATAGACCAATAGGCTCATTGAACTGTCAGCAGACAATAGGGACTATAGGCAGCTGTGAATGAACACACATGAACATAGTAATATCTTAAACTCACCTTACTGTACTCTGTGCAGTTTAATATGAATGTAAACTAAATATAACACAGAAAATGTGTTTTATCCTGTAATACTCACATTTCCTGTGAGTATTACAGTATTACTTTTAGAAGTCGCCGTTTGCTTGAAATTACTGTAGGCTGTGCACCCAAAATCATTTCAATGCTTTTTTCTCTTAAATGACTGTAACAGTGATGTCCAGTCATGGTTTGGTGATTACATTTGCAGCTCCAAAAACGGGCTGTGACATTACTGTAACGTTCCCTGCGTCAGGGTGCGTCGTATGTTCGTGTTGCCATTTCACTATAAAAAACAGCAGCAAGAGACACTGTAACAATCCTGACGTACCTACCATAGAGTTACACACCTTTTTATCCTTGATATGATGATTAAATGGCAGCTATGTTCAGTTATTATTGTGTCTCTAAAGGACCTGCGTATTTAATTTTAGTCCTGTTTCTTCAGAATATTTTGTGTTTTTTTGCTTAAAGAAAGTTGAGCTCAGTTTGGTTCTTGGTCATGTTGCTGTATATTTAAAACTTAACATCAAGCAGAGCCTGCACGACTCAGTGTAAGACGAGCTGCAGCGTGAGGCTGGTTTGATCTGCGTATGTATCTGCTGTGTAGCCTTGAACTGTGAAATGTGGCCTGGGGGTGTGTTGTGATTTAAGAGAAGCACGCTTGTCATGCAAATGAATGTAGTAAACACTGTAATGGAAGCATGAAGTGAGAATAATAAAGGATCAGTGTGTGAACTGATTTTGTGGCGCTTTCATCAATAACACCGATAACTGAGAGGTCTTCGAATCCTAACAACAACAACATTTCCTACCACCAATGAAATCGCAGCTGACGATCCTCGCAGCCCAATAGAATTATAACAGGATTATACTAGTTAAGGTTAAATCCCCCAGTTTTACCAACCAAACAGTTCTCATGCTTATCGCCCTCTCACAGCATCAGCCAAACTCAAACCAGACATGGTGCTGGAAGACGTGGAGTCGGACAACGAGGGCCAGCACAAATGTGCAGATGCTCCCAAAGCTCAAGCTCCGTCCGCATCCCTGGTTCCACCATCACCTGCACCCCAGCAGCAACAGGAAGTGACACAACCCTCACAGTCGCTTTCAGTGGAGTCACAGAAATGCAGCGCCGCCCCTCCGGAGCCACAACCGTCAGAGAGTGCCACAAAAGTATCTCTGGAAGATGCAGAGACCCAGACAGGCCGCTGGACGCCGTTTATTGAAAACATCAAGAAGGAGGCCGAAGGGGTGGCGTTGGCTACCATGGAGGAGCGGTAAGGATGGCGGACAAATGAAGAGAAACAGCTGCGTCCCTTATCAGATACTGAATGTTTACATCCATCATTGTAGCACCTGGATGCTTTTTTAAAGATATTCTCTGCTGTCATATTTAACACCTTAAGACAATGAAAACAGCCAACAAAGAGAAATGAACCTGATTTAATGTGAGGCACGAGATTTTCTTTATCATCAAATGATATTTAGCTCACAGCACAAGCATTTTGTCCTGTTTTCCTTCAGTCTGCTTCAGGAGAGGGTGGAGATGACCCGGATGGCTGAAGAGGTTGCCAGGCAGACAGCTGAGATGGCCGTTAGACAGATGGCCAGTGAGGGACAGTCCATCAAGCTCTCGCTGGGGAGTCAAGAGCTCCTGGAGGAGCCTGAAGCCGAGTAAGACGGTGTACCCAGAGCAAAAGTTTGAACATATGCTCAGGTTAGCTTTGGCAGCGAGAGCCTGTTTGTGATTTGACGTGAGGCTCCATGTCCACTCTGACCAGGCTGCCGGTGCCGCTAGAAGAGGAGAGCGAGGTGGAGATCAGCAAAGCCCCAGAGTAAGAATTCAAATAAGAGCTTCCTGGTTGTTAACGTCGTTGTAGGACTTTGTCTGTGTCACCGTGCATATCATAGTAGTCTTGTGCTGTGCATAGCAGATGTGCATAAATGCTGATGTTGTTGCTGCTGTTCCCCCGATTGAGCCAGCAGCTTGTTGAAAAATAAGTAGCAATACAACAATATAATATACAGGTTACTTTAAGCTGCAGTCAGGACTTTATTAGGTTATTTGATAGGAAATAAAGGATGTTCTACTAATAAATACACATAGAATAGTGTGTAACTGCATCTTCCAGCAACGTCATGCATTTTCATAAACTTTATTACTTTCTATACCTTTGGGCAGTTTAATGTGTGGACGTCTGCAGGCCTGTGCTACCATCAGTTTCTAGCAAAGTGAATTTTATGTCCTTTTATTTATCCGCGTAAAAAGTGATCTTGACATTAAAAATGTGGTTTTTAAGGGAGTTTCAGTTTCAGCTTTCTTTGTCATATGCAAGTTAGCACAGGGTCAACATTGCAATGAAATGTGTCAAGCTCAACAACAAATCTCTCAGCAGTATAAAACAGTATAACAGACTATTATACATATAAATGTACACATGTTTAAATAAAGACATTCTGAGCACTAAACTAAACTTTACAGAGAGAAATAGAAAGTGACGGGTATTGAGGTGTGTGTGTGTGTGTGTGTGTGTGTGTGTGTGTGTGTGTGTGTGTGTGTGTGTGTGTGTGTGTGTCGGGGGGGCACGTAATTGCATGTAAGTGGCAGGAGTGAGCAGCAGTACAAGATGGGCAATAGAAGTAGTAACAAATCTACCATAACAGTTTATTATAACGCAGAACAGAGCGCAGACACGGTGACATGTAGCTCAACTCCTTTGTAAATCTTGTTGACTAAAGTCTGTTTATCAATACAAGCATCGATATTGGACATAAAGAAATAAATAATCACTCTCTGTTACGACACTAGCACGGTCATTTTGTTATCAGCAGGTCCAAATCCCGCGGGTTCTCGTTATGTGATCTTTGCATCACATCACTGTGTCGTAGCAACCACAGCTTCCCTTGGCAACAGCGGACCCTCTTACCTCCGCGCGCCCGCCTCGTTTCCTCCTCTCAGCTGTTGCCCCGGTAACCCCGCGCACCTGCTGCAGCTGCTCCGCGTCCCTGGATTAAAGATGGACGGACATATCGGAACAGAACCTTTTCCTCGTTGTTTTTCTCATATTCCTAAAACCACCTGATGCAGTTTATGCGTCTCAGCAGCCGAATTAACGCGTGTCGATGCTGGTGGACATTTTTCTGTCGGGACTAATAAAGGTAAACACAGCCTATTTAAAAAAACGTGACGGTAAAGCTTACAGAGTTTCTATTTATCATAACTAACGTTTTTCATGTGTAAACAGTAACTCGTGTACAGAGTGAGCTTTTCTGCTACAGGTGGTCACAAAGTCGGTAAATTTGTGCTCAAAGAGAGAAAACAGAAGCTGAAGTTTCTTCATCCACAACAAATATTTCTGATATCCAGTAAAAAGCGTGACGGCTTAAATGACTGTAACCTGGTTTATGTGTGTCACGTTGGAACCTGCTGAAATATAAAAATAAATAGCAGGAACCAACTCTGTCATAATTGAAGTCTATGAAATGTGATTTTGCTGTAATCTCATAACGTTAAAACAGAGGAGAACCTCTCCTAAACTTTACGATTAAATTGACTTCCACAATAAGCAGTTCACACACTCAGTTTACAGCCTATTAGGGTCCAAATCCTCATTTGCAGTATGTGTCCAGCTAACAATAACAGCACTGTAAGAATCTGCCAACACAACCAGCTGTGACCAGTGTTGGTCAAGTTACTTGAAAAAAGTAATCAGTAACTGATTACTGATTACTTCCCCAAAAAAGTAATCCCGTTACTTTACTGATTACTTATTTTCAAAAGTAATTAATTACTTAGTTACTTATTTACTTTTTAAAAACACGATTTACAACCTGAAGAGGTGATAGAGTGATAGATCTTTCAGCCCAATTCTACTTTTTCTACATAATCCATCATACAAAATGTAATCAAATGGAAAAGTCTCTTTTTAAAACTTGTTTTATTAGTTTTAATCTTTTAACTTTATGCATCAAGCAAAAATTTAATTATCTGCAACATTCTCTGACTGGAAGAAATTTGTTTAACATGTAAACCTATTTTCTGCACATTCCAGCTCATAAAATAAAATATTTGTGTGTTTACACTCAGTCTTTCAAATAGATGCAAGTAAAACACAGCAGAAAATAAATAAAGTCAAAGACTCAGCGGTCCTGTTGCTCTATTTTCACCTGTAAAGCAGGAGTGGGGTAGGCGGAGGTTTACCCTGGTGCAGGTGTGCCGCGGTCAGTGGAAGAATCCGCGAGTTTCTCTGTGAGTTTCCCATTACGTCGTAGCTACTCGGTGCTTGTTGGAAGTTTAGGGGTTTTTTTGCTGTAAAAAGAAGTTTTCTTCCCACGCACAGCGGACACTAATGTTTTTGTCACTTTTTATGGAATCAAACTCAAAGTAAGGTCAGTACTTCCACGCTTTAAACGCTGCACGCTCATACTCTCTCTGCACTGGATATATGATCCACTGTTGATCTGCACACAGCTGTTGTCACTAACGTCGCACTCGCTTACGTCACTGTCGTTAGACATTCTCGCAAAAAATCACGGTTTTAGTAACGCAGCGTTCCTACAGGAAAGTAACGGTAATCTACCGTTTTTGCAATAGTAATCCCTTACTTTACTGGTTACTTGAAAAAAGTAATCGGATTACAGTAACGAGTTACAAGTAACGCGTTACTGCCCATCTCTGGCTGTGACTTGGGTCACCATAAGAGGACAGCTGTGTTCCCTGTCGCTCCTGGGCCGCCCAACAACCCGTTCTCTTGTGCTGTTCTGCAGGAAGAACCAGGAGGAGCAGAAAGCTGAGACTGAGGAGCCCACCGTCAACGAGCCAGGTAGATGCAATTCAAATATATGTTAAAAATGTTTTTATCATTAAGAGGAGTTTCTCTCATTCAGCGTGACATCTTTAAGTAACGTCAACACTCTTCTGAACAGTATTTACAAATGCAGGACATTGTGCTGTGTGTATGATCATAGGTGTCAAACTCTGGCCCACGGGCCAAATTTGGCCCGCAGCCTAATTACATTTGCGAAGCCATATCAAATGACTATCAGAGCTGGCCTACTGGTATTATACAGCTAATGTATATATTGTTTAGTATTAAGCTTTGCTTGTTCCATATTCAGTTTTCCAGCAAAACCTGTTTGAGTCCATAAGAAAAGATTCATTCTTATATCTGGAGGAAGTTTTTTTTCATATTAACGTTAGCCCGCGACTTTGTTCCAGTTTTGAATTTTGGCCCACTGTGTATTTGAGTGTGACACCCCTGCTTATTGGATCTTAGAGCCGCAGGAAGAAGCCTCGACCTCACCGCCTCCGAGCAGTGAGCCAGTGGAGATTTCTGAGCCTAAGCCAGAACAAGCACTAGAAGCAGAAACCAAGAGCCCAGAAGCTCCTCCAGAAGCTGAGCCCATCACTGAGCAGCCGCAGAAAAACGAAGACGTCGGTCAAACTGCTAACGCTGACAAGGCTCCTGAAAAAGTAACGTTTGACATCCCGGGCCGTATCACTGCGTTACTCTTGACTCTGTCATGCTAAACTGCCCGACTGACTCAGTACAGCTAAAAAGATTTTTTTTTAGTTACTATCAAGAAATCGAATAATAATGTTCATCGGATAACTGGTTACTAGTTCCCAACTGTTGTGCGTGTGTTTTTGTAGGAGGAGGAAGCTACTGGGGATGACTGCGGTGGTATGTACCGTCTTCTTATTGTCTTTCAGGAAAGTCTCAGATTGCTTATCTGACTGTAACGCCAGTTCATCTCTTTGGACTTTAAATAGTCGATTCATTCACTGCTTGAGTGTGACTGCAGAGTTCATCTGGAGACCAGAAGTCTGATATTGTCATTCTTGACTGTCTGATTGCCAGCAGTGCCCTTCTCCTACTGTATCTGCCTGTCGCCCTCTCTCTGTAGCTCCAGTCAGCTGCGATGCATTTAAGAGCTGCCTGATGCGCATTCCCTTCACCTCTGAGTGCCTCGACAACATCAACGCATTCTTCAAAGAGAACGGCATCACTCCTCCCCAAATACCTTCGGTGCCTAAACTACCCACCCGGCTCTCTGACTTTACCAAGTACTTACCCACCCTACCCCCAGAGATACGCCAAGAGCTCTCCCAGATCAGACTCACACAAGTTCCCCGAAATATTGCCCAGACTTTCACCGAGCTTTTGCCCCAAAGCTCGGAAGTCTCAGTGGGCCCTAGTCTGTCCGGTATTTCCCAAAGCCTCTCGAACGTCCCGCAGAAGCTCTCCCGGTTTCCGAGCTTGGCGCAGCAGTATTTCACGAACATTCGGAACCACCTCAACAGCCTTATGCCTCAAGATGCCTAAGAAACAACAACAACAACAGCAAAAACAGAAACAAGACAACAGTCAGCACGATGTAGAACTGAGCCGGCTCGTGCGACACTCCCCTCTCCCTCCTCCTCATCATCCACAGCTGCGATCCCGATCCCCTTCTCCCTCCTCCCCTAACGGCAGCATCCTCGAGTTGCCCAACGTGCCATCCTATCCACGCCTGCCGCCCATCGTCAGCTCCCCTTCCAAGCAACCCAGACCCCTATCACATCAGCTGTCTGGTCTATCTAACCCAGCATTCTTCATCGAAGATGACTCAGACATCTCAGCAATAAGACCTGCAGGTGAATCCACATCAGTGTAGCGTTCACTGTCCTCTCACTCCCTGTACATCCTGAACTCAGTCATACTGCATGCGAGTAAACAGCCGTCTCGTCATATGTGACAGACTCTAAAATCAACCTGGCAGGTATCTGACACTAAATCAAATACGAACCATCAGTAAAGGATGCTTGAGTTCAGATGTTTAGCTCGAGAGTCTGTGCAGGGTAAAAAAGTAGCTCTTTGTGTTGTTGAAGTACATTTTTGTGTCTTTTTGTGTTGCTTTGTCGTTCCTCGAATAAGCTCACCTCTGACCCCGAGTTTGCTCAGATCATAGACGGGTAAGGTAAAGAGCCGCACGGAGCTAAGGTGTTCCAAAGGACTGAAATATACTGATGCCATCTATTTTCTTCATCACTTTGATGAAGTCTGTCAAATGACTGTTGACAGAAGTGTGCCAGTGAATCATGAGCCAGATTAACCAGATTGTTTGGCTTGCAAGATTAGTAAACTAGTCCTTCACTACCAGGGCGTCTATACATTAGGGGTGCAACGATACACAAAATTCACGGTTCGGTTCGGTTCGATACTTTGGTGTCACGGTTCGATATTTTTTCGATACAAAAAAAATGTTGATGCATTTTTAATTTGTCATTTATTAAAATTATAAATATATATTTTAACTCAAAAGTACAGTTTTTAAATTTAACCCTAACCCTTGTGCGCGTTTTTATTTTGACAGCGAATGCGCACCTGCGGACCACTTATGTGCAGCCCTGGTTATTTAGCTCGTCATATTGCAGCCACAGAAATTCTTTTGTCCATGAAACCATAAAGCTGCACTTTCTTTTTGCCTTATAGTCTGATTTGTCATAACTTCTCCGTTTTGTGGTAAGCTTTTCTTTGGCTGTCACTTCTTCACCCTGACCTGTCTTATTTGGCTCAGCAGAACTAAAATATATATCCTGCTGCTTTTACACACGCACTCACATAAGCTCAGCGATTCTCTGCGCGATCAACCTCTCACATGTTTAAGCTGCGGGAGATTTCACTTGTCATGTTTGCATAGTAAGCTAACGATTAATAAGACGATGTCAGAGGAATTGGTGCACAAATTATCATCACTCACAGATCAGTGCTGTCGCTCTCTATACACAGTTCGCACGATTGCAAAGTGAAAGCAAAAAACAAGCGCAAATTCAAACGCGATTTCAATATGTCACATATTGACAGTGGCTCATCGATGCCAATGACATAATTACCCAGCTACATTTCCGAAAGAATGTAAAAGCATTGACATATATTTTTCCTACAATAGCCCGACGGGCAGGGCAGAGATAGATTTTGGTAGCCCGACTGAAAAAATCGCTAGCTCCGGGACGTCGGGCTAGCGATATTGCGAGCCCTGTATCTGATTGAGGAATCGCTCATCTTTGGAAAAGAGAGTTTATTACAGAGAAATGGCTCTTTCAAAATAAAAGCTATACTATCCGCTTCTTCTGGGCTATATTCTCAGCAGCATATTAAACATATCAGGTCTCCATAAGGAGAATCCTGTGCTAACGGCTGTCTAAATGACTCGGCTAAAGTTAGTAGCATGCTTGTTGTTTTGGTCTTTGCACTAGGATGATGTCGGAGTAAATGTGCAGTCATATTCGTTGTGTTCCCACTAGTGCTTTCAGGTTAATCTCGTTGAAATGACCTTAATGCCACAACACGGCAAATCTCCGTTAACGAGCTACCGCCGATCGCCCCGTGCATGGGGCTAGACGGCCAACACGTTAACGAGCTAACTGCGCTAACACACTAGTTCACACCAATGTAATTGAGCATTGCGTGGCACATCCGACATACTGTTTTACTTTAGTCCATGACGCACTTACCTTCAGGGTCATACGTCACATGAAGACCAAAATAGTTCCAAACGCCAGATCTGAATGAGGGTGGGGGAGGTCCATGTTGTAAGGGGAGCTTAACTTCTGTCTCGCTAGCTTGCCCTGCGCTCTTCCTTCTGGCTATGCTGTCTGTGTTGAGCGCTCAGTGGATCTGCGCTGGACAGTGCAGCCTAGGCGGAGTAGTCGAACACAGATTCACTGAGCGCTCAACACAGACAGCATCGTCAGAAGGAAAGTTGATAAAATAAATTACAAATGTTGTATTGTTCGATACATATGCGTACCGAACCGAAAGCACTGTATCGAACGGTTCAATATCGATACGAATATCGTTGCACCCCTACTATACATGGCCTAGTTCATGCGTGAATCCTCTTCATTAGCCCGCTGTAGGTCGCGACCTTTCTCCCAGCCTGCCCTGCTCCTGCTTATACTCGTGACCTGCTTTGTCTTTTGCTTTACTTGTTTTGTGTTTTGCAGTACTTTCAGTAGTTCGTGACGCTCACGTTGCAGCATCAGTTTTGCCTGTTTGCAGTGATGCGGTTGGCCTTGACTAAATGAAAATAAATGTCTGTTTCTCCAGAGAGCTCCAACATCAGCCTTCGCCCAGCTGTTAATGTAGAGGATGTTGACTCTGATCATGAGAGGGCAGGAGGAGCAAAAGGAGGAGGAGGAGGAGGAGGGGAAGAACAAATCCCCCAAATCCTCACCCCACAGGACCCAAAGCTTACAACCCTCACTGTTCCTGTGACCCCTTCAGGTCGTCAAAGGTGAGCTAACAGGGGATTTATACTTTAAATCTATCCCATAGGTGCAAAGCCTACGGATGTAACTGCACGTCGCGTTGACGCAGTGAGCAGCTGGAGGGAGGTGTTTCCTTACAGCTATTACAATTGTTTCGGCAAAGCCGAAAAGCTTGAGGGACAATTTAATTTACCTAAAAAACTCTGAAACATTTCACGGCCACAACAACGAGTGACGAGCTGGGAAACTAAAGGGGCAACATTTTCCATTTTTCCATTATGGATGGCTCCGCATGTGAAACGCTGACCTCATAAACACCACCATCCACTGACATGGTTTACACGATTAACACTGCTCTACAAATTCACAGCAGAAGACTGAATCAGCAGTAAAACTGCATAAACATCCATATTTTTAATATGATCACTAACTAAAATAATTATGCTCTTAACTGACTGGCTTCTATAAAACTCGCTGTAAGATTTAATTAAACACTAAATATTTAACGATACGTTGTTAGATGTTATTTTTGTAAGATACACTAAACGATGAAGATAAGAAGCTGTCCTGCTGTCTTTCCCGTGTTGGGAAATCGTGGATGCCGCGTCCTCCTAAAGAGGAGAGCAGCTGTGCAGCTTGTAATCAGATGGTACGGGGGCAGATTAGTGCCCATAGCACCGTCTGTGAGGGCACCGTTCATGCTGAACAATATCAATATTGTTGTTTTCTCTGTCTGTAAATGCAGCTTTGGTTGTATGTTATCAACAGACTAGTGTGTGTTACGTTTAACATTTTGCACTCACGTTTTGATCTCAGTTCATCTCAACTAAATATTTTTAACCCTTTTCTCTCTCCTTACGCTTTGCATCTACAGTAAAGGAGATAAAGAGTAAGGATCCTGTTTGAATTGTCTCCTGGGGCTTTTGTGCACGCTCTTCCAACAGTGACCACTTCCACCATGACACTATAGATGTATTTGTGTAGCATATATGCAATCCTGCCATTATATCTCATAACACAGAAATAAGAAGTAGACTCACTGGGATACATGATCTGGGTGCGAGCTTCTCTTTGTCATGTGAAGCATTTTCATCCAAATATTTGTAGCAGCAAAAACAGAAATGCAGTTGTTTCATCATAAAAGGCGTTTGCTGTCAGAATTGTCACATATGTCTTTCATTGTTACATTTTCCATTTTGGAGTGAAATGCTTCACACTTCCTACAGTCTGTTATGCTTTCTGTGATTCATCCTACTGCCCCCTACTGTCCATCTTATTGCTCTGCAGTCTTTCCAGAGTCACTGCTGCTGCTTTTGTCTGTATTTTAGTGTCCTGCAGAACAATGTGTGTGCACTCAGAAACATATCCTATCCTTTCTGCACGTAAAAACTCTGAAAGCTGCCAAAAAGATTACGCACACAAGGAAACGGGCACGTACAGTTTATGCAGAACACAGAAAACAGTTTGTTTTATGAGTGGTTTGGAAAGAGCGCTTCCTGTTTTGTGTTGCTGTGTCTTGTGATGTTCTGTTGTAAACTGTGATGGCACTGTTTCTACTTTTGCACGGCTTTGTGCTTTTGGTTGTTTTCATAACGTAGCAAAAGTCAATAAACAAATGCATCACAATCCTGCTTCATCACTGTGTCACCTGCTGGTCACATTACTGTGAGTGATTTAGACTTCCTTATCTGTGTCCTGGATTAACTCCGTGTTTTTCCCTGCTTGAAACGCCGTTCTTCTGTTTGACAGTAGTGGAAGGAATCGCAGGAGCGTCTGGACAAAGATGTAAGATATCCGATCCTTACTGGTGTCCTGCTGCTTTTTCATCCACTTTCTAATATTTTATCCGTGCACTTTCCCATCTGAGTCCTTGCTCACTTATTTATTCAGTCATCATTTCTATTTTCACAGTCATTGACATGGATAGCTGCATGTAGCTTTTCCATAATCTGCAGTGATGTTAGGCTTTCCTGTGTGAAATAAAGAGAATAATGTGACTAAGGCAGCACAGTCTCAAAGTTGCCCCGTCTGCCTGACTTTGACAGCAGGAGGCTTCATTCTGAAAGCGAGGATGACGATGAAGAGGCAAGCATCCCCGTGAGAGCCTGGCCCAGCCAGTCCAGCCTGCACAGCACAGATGACGTGTGAGCGTGCACACACCAAGATAAATAAGTGACATTTACAATAAGAAAAATCGGCATCATCTAAATAAATTGATGTCTCCGTGTCCAAGTCTGAAAGAACGTCCAGCATCTTCTGCCAGTCAGACCAGCACGGTGGTCAACGAGAGGCTTCAGGAGCTCGTCAGGATGTTTAAGGAGAGAACGGAGAAGGCCAAGGAGAAACTCATCGACCCAGACAGCTCGGATGAAGACAGCATTATCACCTGTGAGTCTCGCACACAAACTGAACTGACACACGTTCGAGAAACAAAAGAAGTCAAAAAGATTTGCCGGTACATTTCAGTGTATGTGGATAGTAGCATGTGTGTGTGGATGTTACGGTGCACTTCACTTCCAGGTACGAAGAGCTCGAGCCTTGCACAGCCACGAAAGCTGCCACTCAAACACAAGACTGATAAAATTACATAAAACTGCCCAGTGACTGTCACACACAGGTGAGCAGCTTCTGCCACCCACTCCTCAGCCACCCACAGAGTTTTACCCACAGTGTCCCTCATTCATCCCACTATGTAGTTAAGCCCTTCCCAAAGTAGCTTCCTGTAGGTCACAGTCTTAAAGACAAACAGATAAATCAGTGCTTTGTTTTTAGCGAGGGGGTTTGTTTTACAGAGAAATGTCAGTGTATAAAGATTTGTGACCCCAGGAAGCTGCTAAAATGTTGCAGCCAATGGGATCCTAATAAAACCAAACTAAGGTCTGTGTGCACACGTGTGCCACAAACACCTCTGACAACAGGCTGATCGCATTTTTCTCTTTTGTTGTCACGACAGCTTCTAGTTACATTTAGCATCTGTTATTGTAGCACCCAGTGAGAAGCTGGTCAGAGCTAACCCTTTGTGTCACTTTTACCTGTGCTAAAGTCCAACATGTCATCTGTGGCACCCTGTAAACAGCTGTAGAGTCCTGTGGTCTGCTTACAGGTGGATAAACCTTTAACACTTTATTTGTTCCAGTATTTATATAAATGTCTACCAAATGCTAAGAAGGTAATAAAGCTTTGCTGAATCCTGTCTTGAAGGCACTGTTTTCTTTCTTTTTGGCTCTTCCTTCCTCCAGCTCCTCCTCAGCCTCCAGCTCCTCAGCCTGCTCCTGGAGCTCAGCCGCCAGATGAGAACGAGACGCAAGCAGGTCCGTCCGGAGGAGGAGGAGTAGAGAGCGGAACGGAGGAGGAGCAGCCTGGCCGTTGCTGCAAGGTGAAAACACCTCGGTGGATACGAGCCTGTGTGCGATTCCGCTTCCCCGCCAGCATCGACCCTTTCACCAGTGAGAACCCAGCGAATGAGTCACCCTCTACCGCCTTCAGTGTTGTGCTGGACAGTTACTGGAATCATACCTCACACACACCCACAGGCTAAGCCACACAAATCGGACCAGATATTTCTGAGAAACAACCCCACACGCATTTATCAAGTGCTTTGATTTTTATCTTTAAAGGAAAAGAACACGAGAAACATGACATCATGTGAGGTTTGGGAAAAGGTCAAACGACTGCATTGTCCTGTTTTTACAGAAACCCGTGTTCCAATCATTTACTTTTCTTTGTGAGACTTTATCTTTTCTTATTCTTTTGCATGTTTTCTTTAATAGCACTTGGATCTTGCATGGTGGTAGCTGATGCTTTCTTAGTTACCGATCCAGTCTCTCCTGGTCTACACTCTGCACCTCTGTGAACTGTCCACTCACTTAATTCCCTGATTTCTTCCTCTTGTCAGACCTGATGTACGTGCTCTGGATGTTTTTGGTGTCTCTGGCCTGGAACTGGAACGTGTGGTTCATCCCGGTGCGCTGGGCCTTCCCCTACCAAACCCCGGACAACATTCACTACTGGCTGTTAACCGACTACCTGTGTGACCTCATTTACATCCTGGACATCGCTGTTTTTCAGCCGCGCCTGCAGTTTGTGCGTGGAGGGGACATAGTGGTGAGTGGGTCAAAGGAGTAATGTGGACACTTGTTGTAGTTTAAGAGTATAATTGTGCACATTTTGCTTTTGTTACAGTGTGACCAAAAGGAGATGAGAAAGAATTACATGAAAACCAAACGTTTTAAGGTAAAACATTAAGAAAGTGAGGTACATGTCAAAGGTTGTGTTTTCTTTGCATTTAAAGGGTAGAATCAGTCATTAAAGTGAGATCCTGTCGTCTCACTTTCAGTTTGATGTGGCCAGCCTTGTTCCCCTTGAGCTCTTCTATTTTAAAACTGGCATCAACCCTCTGCTCCGCTTACCACGGCTGCTGAAGGTGAAACCCTGACACCACACACCGAACGTCTCCTCCAACAATCTCACTGCTCGCTCATTTCCTGGGCTCCACATCACCTTTAGTTTTAGGAATCAGTCATTTACAGTTTCGTCACAGTTTCAAATACTAAGCTCTACAAATATGTTCCTTCCATATCTGCAGATCAAGTCCTTCTTTGAGTTCAATGATCGTCTAGAGGCCATCTTGACCAAAGCCTATATCTACAGGTCAGCGTCACACTGCATTGGTCGTGTCCTGATATGTTAGCACTCGAGTGGCAGGAAAAATTGTGACTGCATTGTCCTCATTTCCTTTTTGAAATAAAGTTTTAAGAGACATACAAAGCTACCGAGTCACAGAACCAATCTGCTGTTAGATATGCATTTCATGTATTTTCCTGTGTTTTCCGTCTCTTAGGGTGATTCGTACCACCACCTATCTTCTTTACTGTCTGCACTTTAATGCCTGTCTCTACTACTGGATCTCTGACTTCATAGGACTGGGACTGACTGAGTGGGTGTACGATGGCGAGGGTAACAGGTTGGTGGGCTGTTTTTAGTAGCGGCCATGTGTCTTTTAACCAAATGACTGCTTTGAAGATAAGAACAGAGTGTTTCTCTTCTCAGTTACATTCGCTGTTACTACTTCGCAGTGAAGACCCTGATTACCATTGGGGGTCTGCCAGATCCCACCACCCTGTCTGAGATCATCTTCCAACTCATCAACTACTTTATCGGAGTCTTTGCTTTCTCAATCATGATTGGACAGGTAGGCGCACACGTGCGCCTCATGTACAGTGCCATGAAAAAGTCTTTGCCCACCTTCCTGATTTCTTTTTCAAATATTTTTCTCACACTTAAATGTTTCAGGTCATCAAACAGATTTTAATTTTACACAACGATAACCTGAGTAAGTATAAAATAGTTTTTAAATGATGAAAACAAAGCCAACATCTACCTGCACCTGTGTGAAAAAGTATTTGACCCTTGGTTAAATGATGAATTAACTGCGACTGACAGTTGAGTTCAGTTTCACTAACCGCACCCAGGCCGACACTGGAACGTGTCTGACAAAGCGAAGTCCGCTAACAGAAAGCAGCTCATCACTGCACGATGTAAACAAACATGAAGAAAGTCATCGGCACCTGTTAGTCTGGAAAGAGTTACAGTGCATTTCTAAGGCTTTGGGACTCCAGCGTTAAAGAGCCTGGAACTATGGTGTGTTATGGCCCTGGCCATATTTTGGATCACGTTGGCTGGATTTTGTTCTGTGTGTCCTGTGCCTTTAAGAGTCTCTGCAGGTCCTTCCTGATTGGAGAGCTGGCAGCTGCTGATTGGTTCCATCATCAAGTGGCTGTTTTAAAAACTCTCTCCAGCAGTTGTTCCCCCTGACAGCAGCAGAGCCGTCCTCCGCCTCCAAACCTTTATCTGTGATAAACTTCTGTGTGTGACTTCAGAGAATTGCTAAGTTTTGTATACAGTGTGTAGATGCTTTCACTTATAAAGAGGCTCTGAAGCAGAAGGCGTGGACTGCCTTCCTTCTCTTGTTTATTCAGTTAGGGAGTTAGCAGTAGCGCTTGCCTTGTGTTTGCTAGCACCTCCGTTTTTGGAATAGCTTGTTCTGTTTGTTATTTTGGCCTTTGTTCACCCCGGAGTTAAAGCTTTTGGTTTTTGGTAGCAATAAAACCACCTTAACTTGTAAATTGGCTTCTGGATATGGCTTTGGTATGGAAGCCCGTTTCCGCCACTAAATAAAAACAAAAAAGCTAGTATCCATAACTCGAAATTTCGAGAAAGTAACTCAAAATTAAGAGAAAATAACTCGAAATTTTGAGTTATGGATCCTTTTTTTTTTTTTTTTTTTTTTTTTTTAGTGGCGGAAACGGGCTTCCATACTTTGGGGACCGGGCCGGGGTCACTCTCCTTTTAACCCTTATGTTGCGCTCCTGTACTCCTAGACCAGGACGTAACGGGTGAAGCTTCCAAAGGAGTGAAAAAAAGTCTGGATGATTGTCAAGACTTTGGGGAAATATTGTGTGGACGGGTGTAAGACTAACACAGAGCATCATACAAACGGTCCACAGTGGTGGTGGTAGCGTGATGGTCTGGGCTGCTCTCATGATCTGAAACATTTAAATGTGACAAATATCGAAATAGAAATCAGAAAGGGGGCAAACGTGTGTAACATTAAAAGCTTGTGATTGTTTCGGGACACTAATAATCCTCATTTTGCTCATTTGTCTGTCAGATGCGCGATGTTGTCGGTGCAGCTACAGCAAGTCAAACCTACTACCGCAGCTGCATGGACAGCACTATTAAATACATGTCCTCCTACCGCATCCCGAGAGACGTCCAGAACCGGGTCAAAACCTGGTATAACTATACCTGGCAATCACAAGGCATGCTGGGTGAGGAGGACGTGATATATTTGCATTCATCTTACGCATGCAATGTTTCAGTCACACCTGACCCTTTGCTTCTTCCTTTACCGTCCAGACGAGCAGGAGCTGCTGAATCAGCTGCCAGATAAAATGCGTCTGGACATAGCGATAGATGTCAGCTACTCCATTGTGAGCAAAGTCCCTCTTTTTCAGGTAGGAATTAGAAATACAAAATGTAGAACATACTGGTAGGCTTCACTTAATCTCCCTTTTTAAAATACTTTTATGCATCTGGAGAAGTGACGCCAGGTTGTTTTATTTTGGCTCTCCCTCCTGACCAGGGTTGTGACAGACAGATGATTTTCGACATGCTAAAAAGCCTGCGCTCTGTCGTCTACCTCCCGGGGGATTATGTCTGCAAAAAGGTACATGTGCTTATTTCTCCATGTTCTGGTGTATGAATCATGTCAAATATTTTCAGCTTGATGTTTTTTGCTTGATCTCTGTCTAATCACCTGGCTCGGGTATTTCACTTGTCTAAGGGCGAGGTGGGTCGGGAGATGTATATCATAAAGGCTGGAGAGGTGCAGGTGGTTGGAGGCCCAGATGGGAAGACTGTATTTGTCACTCTTAGAGCAGGATCAGTCTTTGGAGAAATCAGGTAAAGACGTGGCGCACAATTAAGAGTAAAAGTTTTCAAACAGAGTTACAGTGTTTTCACACATGCAGACAAGCACAGAGCCAAAAACTGTGATGGTCACACTCCAAGGTCCCAGAACCATTTTATACATCAAATCAAACAGTTACACTTATAGAGAAATTCCTCTTTCCTAAATGTAAAAATGCACCTTTCTTTTAAATAATGCTGTTTTTAACCACAGTGCTCTTTGTTTGGTAGCTTGCTTGCAGTCGGCGGTGGTAACAGGCGCACAGCCAATGTGATTGCTCATGGCTTTGCCAATCTATTCATCCTGGACAAAAAAGACCTGAATGAGATCCTGGTCCACTATCCAGAGTCCAAGAAACTGCTGCGCAAGAAAGCCAGGTTGAATATGAATAGAAATAATATTTGTCCTGTATCTGTACTGTATGATTTCCCCTCACTGCCAGCTCATCAAACGCTCCGGTGCTGTCGGCCACCCATCATCAGTTCAAGTAGCTATCAATCCAAAAGCACTTTAAAACACCCAGCACAGGACCAAAGTGCTGTACAGAAAATCAGTTAAAAACAAAAGAATAACAGAAAACAGCAAAAATTAATAAATATATACAACACATAATACATAAAAATTAAAACAGCCCTATATTAAAAGAAAACAAGCAAGAAAACAACATCTTAGCTCAGAGAGATAAGATGGGGCAAGGCCATGGAGAGGTTTAAAAGAATTTTATTACAGTAATCCAGCCGACCGCTAACAGAGGCGTGGATCACTGTCTCAAAGTGCTGCTGTGAAAGAACTGGCTTTATGTTAGCCAGCTGCCTCAGCTGAAAGAAGCTAGATTTTACCACTGCCTTAATCTGACTGTCAGACTTCAGATCACAGTCCACTTTGACCCCCAGGTTTGTGACAGCTGGTTTAACACACTGGGCTGTGTGGAATCTGCCTTTTTTCTTTAGAGGGACATAGATCTGACAGTCATCAGCATACAAGTGGAAAGCAATGCTGTGCTTTCTCAGTACAGAACCAAGAGGAAACAGATATAAAGAAAAGAGGAGGGGGCCTAGAACTGAGCCCTGTGGGACACCACACAAGAGGGGAGGACGACACAGAAAGTTCACCACTCCAGTGCTGTGCCCCTAATGCCCACCCAGTGCTCCAAAGGAGAGAGTAAAAGGATCCACTGTATCAAACGCAGCACAGTCCCAGCATCGGTAGCTAAAAATATGTCATTGAAAACCTTTAAAAGGGCTGATTCAGTGTTATTCAGGGGCGATCGTGGCTCAAGAGTTGGGAGTTCGCCTTGTAATCGGAAGGTTGCCGGTTCGAGCCCCAGCTTGGACAGTCTCGGTCGTTGTGTCCTTGGGCGAGACACCTCACCTGTTGCCTACTGGTGGTGGTCAGAGGGCCTGGTGGCGCCAGTGTCCAGCAGCCTCGCCTCTGTCAGTGCGCCCCAGGGTGGCTGTGGCTACAATGTAGCTTCATCACCAGTGTGTGAATGTGTGTGAGTGGGTGGATGACTGGATATGTAAAGCGCTTTGGGGTCCTTAGGACTAGAAAAGCGCTATATAAATACAGGCCATTTACCATTTACCATTTAAAACCAGATTGGAAAACCGCTAAAACATTTTGCTTTCCCAAGAAGGTATGACTATGCAGGGCAGCTCGAGTCCCCCCTTTTTTCTGCTTACAGTTGTCGTTAGCCGGATTATCCTTGTCTCAAACACAGGAAGATGCTTAACAAAGGAAAGAAACCTGAACCTAAAGAAGAGGCTAAGGAACCCCCTCTGGTACCAGCAGCTCCTGTCAGGGCAGAGACGCCCAAACTGTTGAAAGCAGCTCTTGAGATGACGGAGAGATCGTCGGGACTTAAAGGCGCTTTGGCAAAAGTCAAAGAGAAGACGAACAAGTCCAGCATCTCCTTACAGGTAAACATGCTCAAACCCTGAGCTAACCCAGCAAATCATCTACTTTGAATAGAAGATTTATTTACTCTCATCTTCCCTTCCCAGCCGTCCATCTCCTCCCCCCTCCCACCTCCATCCCCCGCCTCCAGCTTGGAACCTGACAGGGAAGTGGACACGCCATCACCCATGTCTGCCGGCTCTCCGACATTTCGCTCTGCTTCCCGGTGTCGGTACTCTGCGATGCCTCAGTCACCCTCTGAGTGCCACAGCGACACAGTCACGAAGGAGCCAATCAGTGATGATGAAGGAAACGGGAAGAGGAAAGAAAAAAAGTCGTGATTACTTTCTATTTATTTAAATGTATTTTCAATTGTATAGCGCCAAATCCCAATAGCTGCTGCCTCAAGGCGCTTTAGGGGAAAGACTCGATGATATTAGAGAGAAAACCTCAGTAATCAGATTCCCCCCCTATGAGCAAGAACTTGGCGACAGTGGGAAGGAAAAACTCCCCTTTAACAGGAAGAAACTCAGGGAGGGTCTCAATAGTTTGAATGATCGTTAAATAATAATATCTATAATTATAGCCTAATGCATTTAACACATTGTACTAGTTAAGTTTTATAGCTCATGTAATGTAACAGGAAACTGTCAGTCCCACGATTTCTGGCCCATTTTCATCGTCTGCACTGAGTTTATGTGAGTAAATTCATTGTAGCTACGATGAGTAAATTCTGCAGGATTGAACTTGTTGTCTTTCTGTGAAACAGGAAAGGAGAAAATGTTTTTGCTGTTGTTGTTTGCTGAATGTTTACGGATTCTTTTTGTAAACTTGAAAGATGCCTTACATGTCTGACTCTGTTGTGTTGGTGTAAGTTTTGTTTTGAACAAAGATACTGGGTAAGGTTGTAGCAACATCTCCTAACTTCAGCATATTTTACACATTGATACATGATACATGTGTAATTGTAAAGCAAACAGTTTATTACTATGTGCTAAGAACCAGTCTACTGATGGAATTAACCTCACTACGGTCGATCTTTTTATGTTTTCTTTTGTTTTGTACAATAATGTAAATATATCTGTTTTTGTATTTATTTAGCTCTCACAGTTTAATTTTAAGTCACTGTGCTGGTTGTGTTGTCACAAGACTGCAATAACTGTAGAAATGCAAAATGCTTCACTTGTGCTGTAAATGCTTAATATAATCGCACAGCAGTACTTTTGTATAGATGTGCTAACTGTAGCCACAAGCCAGCGATCCGTACTGCCAGACCATAGAAAGGAATCATCGACAAAGGCCTGTTTTTTCGAGTAAATTTTATTGAAATAAATGAGTTTTCGTCATATTTTAGCATCTGTTCTTGTCTTTGACTTGTCATAAAGGTAAAAAGAAAAAAAGACCGAAACTAAACAGGAAACAACAGGACGTGAAACCAGTTAGTTCTGGTGGTTGAAACACTAACCACAGACCAGGATCTGGTTCTTGGTTCAAATCAAGAACAAATTTGACATTTTTACTTGCTGGTGTTTTTTCCAACATATTTTAACTTTACTGATATTAAAACTGGAGGTTTGTAGTATTTGTTGGGGGGAAAGGGGCTTGAATGATAAATCTAGTTAATATCTTTGTTTTTATTTTATTTTCTGCAGGTCAATACGTGGGTTAATTAATTCTTAACAGCCAATCCCCACAGTAAAGTTGCGGTCTTCTCTCATACAGGGGACATTTTTCTGCATGAAGTCATTTTAAATGTTTTTGCAAGATTTTCCAAACGTTAACTTTCACTGCGGATGTTTAGTATTTTTACGGCGTGTTATTGACCCACAGTCATATCTGTTCCATTTTTGCACGGATCATCACCTGCATTCATGTATATATCGATCCGCTTTGCACTTTTAAGTTTTATTTTTGTTTATTTAAGTGTATCTTACTTATGTTTTGCACTAAGTACCGAAGCAATACTGTTGTAAACCTGCTCACCATTTGGCAACAAAAGCCTTCCTGATTCGGCTCTAACAGCTAACCGCTTCTTCTGGGCCGCACCATCGTCTGTGTGGGGTAAACAGAACACTTTCCACACATTTAGGTCAAAGCGTCAAAAACAAATCAGATCAAAGCTCGTCGGTACCAAGCGTGCTGGAAAAAACACAGCGCCCCGCCCCCTGACGTCATCAGCGCCTCCTCTGCGGTCAGCTGATCGCACCTGAAGGGACTGAGCGTGCACAGAGCCTAACGTAAAGGAGCTTTCAGGGGAACGACAGCAGGTAACGCAGCTTGTAATGAAAGGAAAGCTGTAGCTGTAATTATTAGTTGACGGGCGACACCGTTTCTCTGTGCTGTGGACGCATTAGCTTAAAGGCTAAACTTAGTTCACGATAGCTACTGTTTGGCTAGCTGAGTCACAGATGGTCTGGACGATGGGAGACAGCGATGGGGAGGACGCAGTGGACACTCCTGCGCTGCCCGTGGAGGTGAGTGCAATACAAACGCAGTGCTCGTGAGCTACAGTAACAGTGTTCTAATGGCAGTCAGCTACTGCGCATGACCTGCTGTACCTGTCGAGTGTGCTCTCGCTGGAGCTGGTTCGGATCGAGCTCTTCGCGGATGTTTAATCTAATCCAGCATTTCTGTCTCAATCTGCAGGTCGTAGTTTACATCCTGAGTTTTCTCCACGCTTCAGACAGGAAGGAAGCCTCGCTGGTCTGCCGTAGCTGGTACAGTGCCAGCCAGGACCCCCGCTTCCAGGTCACTCTCCCCAGACCACAACAGAGACGATGAATTGAAAGGTGGCTGCACATTTTAACTGTGTTTTTTTCAAATTGCAGAGGAACATCACCTTCCGCTTCCCGGCTTCGGCCTCGTCCCTGGAGCTCATCAGGGGTCTGGGCCGAAAGCCACGCTGCAGCCTGATAATCAGCCAGCTCGATGGCTTCAGCATCTCCAGATCGCTGCTGCTGGAGGTGCAGTACTCTGACGAATTAAACAGCTCCTGTCTGACACATATTAGGGGTACAGGTGGTTTTTTGTTGTGTTTAGTACCTAAAAATGTCTCAGCATCCATTGCTCCTTCTGTGAAACTATATTCCTGACGTCATGTGATGACAAACCCACAAACAAGCAGTCATACGCTTCCTGGTAGGCTCACATAATTCACGCACCTCCGGGCAATGGAAACTTTTTTTACAGTGGATTTGTCTGGACTCTAGTCATCTTAGAAAAACACTAGCATTGTTTTAACATTTTTATATATATCTCAATCACAGCCTTATTATTTTAATTTCCTGTCACAAGGATAAACACGTGACAGGCCATAAATGAACGCCAAAGTTCAGAGCAGCTGTGGTCATTACTTAATAATTCATGCTTATCACAATCATGTGCGTCTGTGTGTGTGAACGTGTAAGCACCGAGTTTCCCACTAAACACACACACCTTTGCTAACCTTCCTGTTTTGTGTTGCTTCCTCCTCAGGTGGGCCTTTGCCTGGGCCCTAAACTGGAGAGCCTGGCCCTGCCTGGAAGCAGCATAACAGAGGCTTCCCTGCTGGCCCTGCTCCCTCGGCTTTCCTCCCTCCGCAGGTTGGACCTCAGAGGTCTGGACAGCCTCTTCATGTCTGGAGCATTCCTCTCCAGGGAGGAGCACAGACAGCAGGTGGGTGGAGACGGGCAATAAACAATCTGAACAATTCAAACAAGAAATTTTAAAAAAATCTTTATTTTTTTATGGTGTCATAAAAATGTGAGCAATCATAATCTGCTTCCAGGTGCGGTCAGCACTGTGTGGTCTGGAAGAGCTGGACCTGTCTGACCTCCGTTACCTGTCTGACCTCACCTTCAACCGGCTGACCGGATGCACGCCGCGTCTCCGTCGGCTCTCGCTGGCTGGCTGCCATATTGCTTTTGAGTTTGACCCGTATCGAGGGTGCCCGGTGGGGGCCGTCGAGGACTCTTCAGCTCTGCTGTCGCTTAGGAACTTGAGGAGGTTGTTGATGGAGCAGAAATCCACCCTCGTAGCTCTGGACCTCAGCAGGACATCCATCACCCCTGAGTCGCTGCGCACTGTTGCACAGGTCGGGATGTTGGCACAGCACAAGTTTCAGCATCACTAAGAATACTTCCACTGAGAGCTGTAATTCTGTGTTGCAGGTTCAGGGTTTGTTTTTAGAGGAGCTGATCCTGCACGGCTGTAAGGAGCTGACCAACTACTCGGTGGAAGTTCTGGTGAAGCACCAGCCAAGCCTCCTCAAACTGGACATCAGCGGCTGCACGGAGCTGACCAGCAGGTCTGTGGAGGCCATAGCGCGAGGTCTGAGGTCACTGACACACCTCTCATTGTCGCAGGACTGGAGGATCACAGAAAAAGGTTCCCCCCGTGCACATTCTTGTGTATTTAACTGAAATTGTCACCCAGTGTGATCATTTTTATATTTGATATTATCTTTGGAGTGACCGTAATCACGATGATGGAACAAACTAAAAGCAGCTTTAAGGGGAAAACAAACGAAATAATCAGCATTTTTCTATTTGAATAGAACTGCAAGTTTATGATGCTCGGTTATTAGTTTCACGCTCGCAGCTCATCGCACTGCCTCCATGTGATTAACATCGTGTTACCAACAGGCCTGTCGGACCTGCTGTTGTTGCCCTCCCTGCGCTCTCTGGACCTGTCAGAGTGTCTGCACATCAATGGAACAGAGATGGTGAAAGGCTTGAAGGGATCCGATGCTGCCAGACGACAGCTAGAGACGCTCAACCTCAGGAGCTGCACCTACATCAGGGTCGGTCATTGTCTGCGTCGCTTCGTTCGGTTTAAACCAGACGGAAAAATCTTAGCTTCCTGCCTTTCTTTTAGGATCCTGCAGTTTTCTTTCTCGCCCAGCTGCTCGGGGACACTCTCTGCGAGCTTGACCTGACTTCCTGCAGTAATGTGACTGACCTGTCCGTGTGCGCAGTCGCCACCTACCTGCAGAAGCTGGTGGTGCTGCGGCTCGGCTGGTGTAAAGAAGTGACAGACTGGGGTCTGCTGGGAATGGTGCAAAGAGCCAAATGTGAGCCTGACGAGGAGACGGTGAGAATCACAGCTTTGTGTCTGTTTTGCTCTAAGCACATGTGGTTGTTATAATAATTCGCTCTAACAGGGAGACAAGGGGCCCAGGTTCACCCGGACTTTTGGCAACATGGGCTTCTTCAAGCCTCCTCGCTTGCCTTTCGAGGAGCGACCCAAGCTAGTGACTCCAAATGACCTGGAGCAGCTCAGACAGCAGGCTGGAGCTTCTCTTTTAGCTCTGAGCAGGCTGCAGGAACTGGACCTCTCTGCCTGCTCCAAACTGACGGACAGCAGCATCACTCAGGTAGGAGGAGGACGGGCAGCAGAAGATTCCAGTCTGGAATGCAAAATATTTGAAAAGCTCTGTTCTCCTCTCTCAGGTGATGCGTTTCCCAGATCTCCACCATCTGTCTCTCTCCATGCTGCCGGAGATCACAGACGACAGCTTAGTGTCGACGGCGCGTCACTGCCGCAGTCTCACTAGTCTCGTGCTCAGCCACTGCCCAGGTATCAGCGACCGCGGCGTGGCGCATGCTGCGCCCTACCTCCCCAGACTGCAACATCTCTACCTCTCCTGCTGTAATAACATCACTGATAGGTGATTAGCACACACGCCTCGCAAGTAGCTGCAGCTCATCGGAAAGCCATCAAATTCTTACGCTGTTTGCACTCTAAACCCCGCAGATCCCTGCTCCTCCTGGTGCAGCACTGCAAACGTCTGAGGACGCTCGACATCTCCAGGTGCAACAACATCTCCGTAGCAGCAGTGGACTTCCTCCAGACACAGCTGCCCTTCCTGGAGAATCTCCACTACAAGTTCATAGGTGGGGCTGATCTTAGCCTAAGCCTCTGACAGGCTGAGTGAACATCCCGAGAGGCTGCTGGGACTTGAAAAAGAAGAAAACCTGCTGACTATAGTCTGCTCTCAGCTGAGCTTTTGGCACATGTCAGTATTTTGTGCAAGAGAGGAAAAATACTTTAAAGTTTACAGCAGGACCTAATTATGTCATCTCTCGAGTAAATATCTGCTCCTGTGTGGAGTAGGAATCACCAGTTTGGACCAAAGGTTATTTTTAAAGATTTCAAAGGAAGGCGAAGACGGCAACACACGAGCACCACAGGAGGAAGAAAGTAGTCAGCATTTCATGTATTTACTGTTCGGAAAATTTTATATTTAAATTCTTTGAGGTGCTTTTAAATGAATTACTGCTGTCACAGACGTAGATTGTTGTAGACAGATGCCAGCGATGCTCCATTTCCTTTATTGTTTTAATGCTGGCAGTCTTTGCTTGTTTGCTCAGTGATGTTGTTAAAAGCAGGATGTAGGATGGGACACTTTGATGCTGCTAAAGCTGTGGAGTGAAAACGTTTCCCCAACTTCATCTTTTAGATTAAAACAAAGTAAATCAGGGTTTTAATCACTAATTGCTTTTCAAAAATGATAGAGTGTCAGATGTTCTTGGAAAGGGAGCATCATGCCAAAACTAGCGAGTTTCATTTCCACTCCAGCCCACTGTGGACGCTGTTGTAGCACTGAGACAGAGGGAGTACTCATCATGGACCAAAGTGTGCAAAGGTGTCTTTTATAAATAAACCAAAGTTTGGCTTTTTGCTGTATAAATCAAATGTTTTTATTCATGTGAATTAAATCAAAGCACATGATTCAACGTGGACATTATCCCAGAGGTCAGTGTGTCAGTGTGGAGCAGCTGTGCTGAAACGAAATCAGTTCCCCAGTAGCTCCTCCAGGTGGCGCCACTGAGTGCTCACATTACAAAACCAGCCGTGGACAAAAAGCATCAGTTTTAAAGTTACAATGAAATTTGATCCAAAAAGCCAAAAGTCATCCAATGCATGTGGTACCGTGTGATTGTGACAGAGGGACGTGTGCCTGTTTGCAACAACGATTCAAAATCATTTAATGCATCTCTGCTCCAGAGCTGCTGAGATCCACATGAAGACGAGTGCCTGCAGGTGCATGAAGCTGCGTAACACTGAACACCTGCTGTATGTCTGATGTGCTGGAGAATAAACGACGTACCGTGTTGTAGTTAATGCCCTCTTTAAAAAACGCAGTATTCCTCACACACATTTAGAGAATTCAAAAATATAAAATGATTGTAAAACAAGTGTAAAGTACCATTACTTGAGTGGTTATATTAAAAAGGATTGAATTACATTTTGCTCGGTACCTGTGTGAAGGTTTGAGTGCAGGGAGGAGCAGACGTGCGTCACACAAACACTGACGGCGTCTCAACCTTGTTCCTGCTTCACTCGTTTCACTTGGATGTTTAAAATAAGAAAACTCAAGCGTCAAAGTTATAAATCTGTGATTAAGATGACAAGCGCGTGCACGCGCAGCTCCGCCCACACCGACGTCTCGTTTCACACATATTTACACAGTCACGCGCTCATTGTTCCGTCTGGCTGAAGTCGTAGCAGAAGTTGAAGTTGCTCGGAGGTTTGGGAACGACCGGAGCGTTGTCGGGTATGGGAACGTTCTCCAGATCTAGGAGGCGGAGCTTGATCTCCATAGACAGGAGGATCTCCAGCTCACTCCGCATCGATTCGCTGCTCATCTCCCGGCCGAGGAGCACGCTCAGTCCGTCCGTCCACAGGCAGAACTGAAGACGTAGTGGAAGCTGGTTAGATTTAGTTTCTTCACTGTATATCACAAAGAAACTGAAGGAGGTAACGGAGCAGCGTTTAGACTCACGTCGGTTCTGGACGGGGCGATGAAGTTCAGGCTGTACTCCTCTACGTCGTACGTGATGCTGAATGCCAGATCGAGGACCTCCTACAGAGAAAGCTCAGTGAGACATTCCCCCGTCCACACTTATTATCATCATCACCAGTAACAAGAATCATTGTTAAACAGAAAGAAGCTCGAGAGCATCAGAGACATCCCAGTGTGCTTGGGTGAGGACTTCACGCTGGAGAGACCACATCTCTCACCTGGCCTGGGAACGCCTCAGCGTGACCCCAGATACCCTGAGTGAGGGAGGTCCTTCTGTGCCCATCGATGGACCTGCATCTTATTTCCTTAAGCCATGTTTAGTTTCTCTCCATATTTCTCCTTGACTGTCCACACCACCTACAGCAGGAGGTGATCACCATGGTACTGAGAAGGTGAAACAGCTGACCTTATTCTGTTTGCCTTTGTTCTCCTTCATGTGAGGACAGTCTTTACCCGTCAGCAAGCCTTTGATATCTGCGACTGGAACTGAAGAGGAAGCGTCAAAACACACATATGGTTAATATACTTCAGACAATAAAACCATCTGTCGGAGTCATATTAGTTCCTTCTTCTGTTTTGAATAACAAAGAGTCGTCAGTGCCAAGCGGTAGCTGCAGGTGGCCCCGCCCCTCCCTGAGGAGTCTTCCTGTTAAAAGGAAGTTTTTCCTTCCCACTGTCACCAAAAAAGACTGTTGGGTTTTCCTCTGTAGGCATTACTGTGGGGTCTACCTTACAATATAAAGCACCTCGAGGCGACTGTTGCTGTGTAAATAAAACTGAATTGATCAGCGGCTCAACACACCTGCACTGTTCTGCACTTTGTATCAGGGTTTGTTGGGCACTGATGCTTGATGATTATTAAGATTAATCAATGAGCATAATAAACTGGAATTCCACACATGACAGTTTCTCACAATTTAATTTTAATGGATAAACCTAAGCATGAATATGGCTCGAGCCATTTGGTGTAGAAAAACTGAACTCACTCTTCTCCTGCAGTGTTTCTATTGGTGGATTTTCCGTGTCTTCCTCCACATCGCCGTAGTGAAGCATTTTGTGATTGGGCGACAAGCGACAGTACCACAGTTTATCTGAAGAGACAAAGACGCGGGTTAGCCTGACACGCCCAGTCTGCCGTTCGCTGCACGCGAGCCTGTGAGCGCTCTCACCTGTCTGCGTCGGCTGCTGATCTTCCTGAACATCGTGCCTGACACAGCCTGTTGAGTCTCTGCTGCCGGATCAACTCGAGCAGCTCCGGCTTCAGCCGCTCTTTGAGTTCACTGGAAAGAAAGCAGCAAAGAGCTATAAAATTATTCTGAAAACGTCACAAGCAGTTTTCTCGTTGTTCTAAGACATAAACCGTCACTATTGCCCAGATGACATTTATTCAAATCTAATCAAAAATCAAGCAGCAGAACTGTTACACTGAGTGTTTAGTGACAAACACCAGTGTGACCTGCTGGTTGCTCCATACGGGTGGAAACTATTTGGAGTCGTCAGCAGAACAGCTGATCGGACAGTTTAACAAACCACAAACTCCGTTTTATTGAATCGTTTCCAGAATGTGGGGTCAACACACGGGACGCTCAGCCGAACTGTGTGTGGATCACAAACACACTGAACCTGAGCTCGTTTATTTCAAGCTTCTGTTCTGTTACAAATCTGATCTTTGCATGACTGAATCAGTACGGACGGCGTGTAAATGACCTTTAAATTTGGTAAATATTTTTACGTTTGTTTGAAAGGTACTTCGGTTTTATTTTGAAATCCAGGCTTTTATTTTGAAACAGGAAACTGGCGCAAAACCGTTAAAGGGCTTGTTAGTAAGGTTTCTTTTAGGATATGGTAAATAGTGTGCCTTAAAGTGAAAATATGTACGTTTCCTTTGCCAATTAGTACCTGGCTGACAGTGGCACAAGGTTTGTTAATGTTTCCTTTAACGGAATAAGTTACGTGCAACCAACATGTCGTTTAATAGAGTTTGTGTTGTTAACCTTGACCTTTATGTGTAGCTGTAAGTTAGTGAGTGATATAATGATTGAATGATGTAAATTTGATGTATATGCTATATGTGAGCAGGGGAAATGTGTTTCCTTTAATGTTATGGTATTAATATTGCTGGCTTTGTTTTGCTCCTAGCTCTTACGGTGTCTTCACTGAATGTTTCAATAAAAACATTTCCAATAAAACCTCTGAAGCATCAGTATAAGAGACCATCATTCAGCCAGGGATGCTACACGGCGGGAACTGCAGACCTCGACATTTCTCTGACATGCAGAAAGTAAATGAGTTCAACTGTAAAAGGCAAGAAGTCAATCTGGGAAGCAGTGGGCGCTCATCTGATCCGATGAATGCTGGCAGCTTTTAAACAAACCTATCCGTTTATCACACCGCGGTGGGCCTCGGCTCGCCTGCAGTACAGATGGATTTACCATGTGTGCCCACTCGAACGTGACTGCACAACACACTCATCCATAACCAGTAGACCTGGCTCCTGCCTACAGATAGACAAACATCTGTTTATACAGACTATAGGACAGTTGGTGCACATGGCAACTCCTTTAACACAGACCGGTACGCAGCACGTAAACCTGCTGATGCTCACAGCACAGGCGGAGCCAGAGTCTCTTCCTGGTGCAGTCGTTCCGTCTGCCGCAGTTTGAGGATCTCGCTGTAGTTCAGAGCGTTAACTTTGTTCTTGAAGAGCTCCAAGGAGGTCGGCTTACTCGACAGAGTCCTGGTGATCTGCTCCTCACCACCTGCATCACCTGAGGACAGATATGGGAGCACAGACATGCTGTTGGTGTGATAGGGATTGGTGTTTCACATAACCAGGGCATGTCAGCCTGCCTATTTAACACGTTTGTGCACAATGGTTGAACATTATTCCTTCATGTGGGCAAAGAAGACTCAGAGCCGCTCAGTCATCAGTGCGATATCCTCTCCACGCACGCGCTCACACGATGGCCTTGCTTGCATTTGTCAAACGGTGCCATCATAACGTCCTTGACCTTAATGTGACTAAGACTAAGGAGTTAATCACTGGTTACAGGAAAGATGGCGGTAAACCGAAGGCCAGAATCACACACAGTGAGACTCCAAGTTGTGTAAATATTGGGAACGCTCGACTCGCAGCTTAAATCTGATATAACACGAGAAACTGCGGTTAAACGAGGACAACAAAGAATTTATTTTTGCAGAAGCTGAAGTTTTCAGTGTTTCTAAGAATATTTGATAGAATTTTTATCATTCTGTTATTGCAACACGTTCTGTATGCGCTGCTTTAATGAGCAGGATGTGAGTAACAGGGACAGCGTTAGCAGTATTCTCGAGCTCGAGTCTCGCGCACCCTCGAGACAAAAACTGCTCCTCAAATTCTTTCACGTTCTTCTATTAAGCTGCTGAATGTTAAACGTGAGAATATAGTTTGTTCTTGTCCCGTCTCTTATTGTCCACAGCTCACCTGTCGGTCGTGTGGGGTTCAGGGGGTTGAGGTTAGGAGCAAACCCCCTCGAGCTCTCGGTTTCTGCTTGCAGAATAAATGTTCATGCATCAGGAGTTAGTGAGGGCAGTCTCCACCCAGCAGCTGTCTTGATACATACACTGGTAAGGTCGTCGTCTTTGTGTGGGAAACGGTTCGTGCTGCTCGATGACAGACTGACTGGTTTCTATCGTTACCTGTAAAGTGTTTCTTAGTTCAATTTTTACTTTATTCTTTGTTTTTATTGAGATGGTGGTCAGACTGAATTGCCCAGCGTTTTCTGAAGCTCCGTGCTTCAGTCTGTGTTTCTACTCGTTAAAGTGACGCTCACACAGAGACGGGAGGTGACCCTCAGCGCTCAGGGCAGTGACATACGTGTTAAATCTATGGTTCCCTCAGTCGTAAAAGTGGAAAATCTATATAAAAATCAATAGTGTTAAAAGACCGAGCCAACTCTGCGCTGCTGCGGTCACACCCCTCACCCACACATGTACGCAGCTGACCTAGATCATTCCTGTTCACGCCCAATTTGATTGACTGCAAACAATCAGCGTCTAAAGTGTCGATAAGCCTCGACTCATTCTCAAAGCTCAGAGTAATCGCTCGGTCTCACAAATGTCCTCCAAGAATGTGAAGCGTGACCAAAGTGTTTGTGACTGCAGACGACAGCGAAGTCGTTTTTGTCCCGCAGCAGTGGAAACACAATCTGTGAAATCCAGAACACGAAACGAGCGTCTACGGTTTCACAGCGCGGCTCCCCGCTCACGTCCTCAGAGCCAAAATAAACTCATCGTCCAGCAGCAATCACATGACACGGTCTGCGCTCCCACCACTGTACATCTGTTTACCACTCAGCTGTACACATCTGTACGTAACTGTTCCCACCTTCTATTCTGCCCTTATCTGTATGTAATCTGCTCCTATTGCTCTTCTGATTGATGCAAACTGCATTTCATTGCCGTGTGTTTATACACGTGTAACGACAATAAATCTAATCGACACATTGTAACGATTTATTAACAGCTTCTAGTGTCACACATTGAAAACAAACAAAAAACCTTTTAGCCTTTGATGTATGAATCACTTCTGTACTAGAATACTTCATATTGGCCTCTGTGTTACCAGTTAGTTAAAAACTACTATCTTACCTCCATTCTTCCTCCTCAACAGACAATTATTTTAAAACCCTGGCTTCAATTTCACCCTCGGTCAGTCGCAGAAACGTGACGGGGATGACGCGGAGTCAAAGTGAGATCACCTATGACAGCAGAGGCCTTTGAGTGTTTGGTAAACAGACACCCCGGTGCTCACATGCACACGCCCAGCCGGGTCCGGCCCCTCTGTCGTTTAGCTCAGCGGGCCAATAGGAGCGACGGCAGCTGTCTCTCTGTTTGGCAGCGTGTTCACGGACGCTAAGTGTGCGTATGTGTGTTAGCGGAGGACGGCTGTTCAGATCATAACACAGCTGGACTGAGGAGATTTCTTAATGTTGGAGGCGCACATGCAACTAAAACCTAAATAAGCGATATCGCCGTCACAGCCTCAGCTTTCCTTCTTCTTTGCTGCTCCCTGTCGAACCTTTTCCTTCTCTCCCTCTCACATCGTTTCCAGAGGTTTTACGTTCCCCTCTGTTGTCGTGTCATTACTGCCGATGCCCTGGGCGCTTTGTTTCCTCGTTCCTTCTCCCTCCGTTTCTGCCGTTCGCCGCGGTTCTCTTTGTCCACCTAATGCTGCTTTGTCCTTGCCTCAAAGCACCCTGGGAGGTTGGACACGAGCAGAAACAAAAGGCCAGTCTGCTGGTCTGGCACACAGGACACTGGCGTGCACCGGAGAGGTCAAAGTCACAGAGTTCTATGAGCACTGTGTGGATGAAGGATTGTTGAGTTCTCAGTATTTCTCCAGATGACAGCGCTCTGCCGCCAGCTCGGCTTAAACCACAAGCTAACTGTGCGTGTGGGGGCGGGGCGGGGAAGGAGAACCAATCCAACCCACCAAAATACAAACTTAGACAAATGTACATTTAAAATTGAATTTAAAGCATTCTGCTTTTAAATTTCAGTCTCTCTGTGCTTCATTTTTACTATATCAGCATTTTTATTTACTTGTGTCACAGTTCATTAAGATAACTGAGTGGAAACACCCTGTGAGGTGTGATCAAAACAGTCCACCAGTGGGCCTTAATGGATTCAAGGTCTCCCATTCAACCCATGCAAGGTCACCCACATGACCACAGGGATTAAAGTGCAGCTATTCTCAGATCATTCCCAGAAGTCCAGTTCTGACACCTGCACTCTGCGGCTTCTCCACGGACCTTAAATTACATTTTACTGCACCACTGGCCTCAATTTTAATTTGGGGCGGGTCATCTCTAGCTTTGACCACAATTTTCTGCAGCGGTTCGAATAAGAAACATCAACTGAGGGGCAAGATGAAGAAGTGTTGGCTTCCCCGCCCTCTGAATTAGCATTTTTCCACAGCATGTCTTTATCCTGTCTTCCTTCTCTCACCCCAACCAATCACAGCAGATGGCCCGCCCCTCCCTGAGCCTGGTTCTGCTGGAGGTTTCTTCCTGTTAAAAGGGAGTTTTTCCTTCCCACTGTCGCCAAAGTGCTGCTCATAGGGGCTCATATGATTGTTGGGTTTGTCGGTCTGTGAAAATATTGTCTGACATTAAACCGTCCGTGGCACAAAAAAGGTCGGGGGTCTACGATGCAAAGCGCCTTGAGGAGACTGTTGCTGTATAAATAAAATTGGATTGAATTTTTGCACTCTGATTTCAACTCCCGTTTATTCAGAGTGCAACTGATTTGTATTGTTCGGCAGAAATGGGATTAACTGTGGAGCAGTCTATTCACCACATTTGTTCTACTTCCTGAACAAAAGCTCACCAGAAGAGATCCAGCATAGCTTGCACAAATACCCGCGGTGGGGGGGGACTACTTTGGGACTACTGACCTCTGTCTGCCTGACTATATTTAAATAAGGTAACGTTCTTTGATTCTTGAACTTTCTGATGACACCTTGTACTACCCTTGAACTTCCTGAGCCAGCGGTTCCCTCTCTGACTCCTCCGGTCTGCACGATGAAGCATCCTTGGGTTGGACACTGAACCACAGTTTCCTCCGATGCATCCACGAGTGCACGATTGCTAAACACATCACTCGTATGCATGTATGATTGTGTGCTATGAATATAATAAAGTGTTTTGTTCCCGACCACACACATGCATCTAACGTATATAACATGAAGAGCTGAGTTTTCGTTCCAACTCATGGTGCTATTGTGTAAAACGACGAATGTCACATAGAAGAATTTACAAAAAGCCACCGTTCACTTCAGTTTGGTCACCGGCTCGATTCCACTCATTGTTTTCTGATTTATGGAAGCGTTTTTGTGGTTGGGTGTACCGCAAATGACTCCAAGTACTCCGTGGGAAAGTGAGACTGACTGTCACTGCATTTAGCAAAGATCCCACATGTGGTCGTGGACGGTTTGGATCTGACGTACCCCACGTCACCGGTTCACACACTGCCACAGCCAACGACCAGAGCAAACTCTCCCGTCTATGTGAGAACTGCCCGGTGTACAAGGACTGAGTTCCTTCTAGCAAAGCGAGCGCCTCTGCTGCTGTACCTTGTCAAAGTCTTCCTGTGTGGCTCTCATCTCTTTCCAGGTCTTGTTGAGCAGCTGAATGCAGACGCAGAAAAGCTCCTCCATCAGCCGGTCCTGACTGAAGAAGATGGGGTGGTAGCCGGACCCCGTCTCCGAGGCTGTGAACAGACAAAATAAATTAGAGCTCGAACAAGAGCGAGCAGAGATCGCAGCGCGTAAGAGATCAGACTGACGTGGCTCTCCGATCCGAAGGATTTCACACAGGATGAGCGTGAGCTGGATGCTGCTCCTGGCAAAGGGACACTCGTGTTTGTCCTCTCGACTGCTGTTCTCCAAGACAAACTGACGACAGAGACAGAACGGAAACTAAGCTGAGCGTTTATTATGCAGTCACCTGATTTTTGAGCTCATGTAACAAACAAGCCGCTTGTACTCGATCATTTTTTCATTTAACATGCACCAGCAGAGGTTTTCTATGTCTAACTAAACTGCAGATAAGTCATGCTCACCCTGCTGTAGGCGTCGGGATAACGTGTGGCAAAGTAATACATGGTGTCCAAAGCTAAGAGACCAGGAGGCGTTCGTGACAAGTCCTGACCGGGGTTGCTATTATTCTGAAAGGAAGGAAGACAAAGTGTCACATATAAACGAGAGAAAAGCTGGCAGACAAACAGTTACCGTGTATGATCTCACGCTTACAGAAAAGCCCAGCTTCCTGAACTCTTTAGCACAGAGCGAACGCCGTCGTTCGTGACTCAGACTGTTCTCGCTTTCTGTCTCGAACGCTGCCTGCCTCAGACCGTGAAGGATGTCT